AAAAAAATAAAAGAAACATAATGTAACATAATAAAATAATATAATATAATAATAAAATATTAATACAATCGTACAACCATGGGAGCGTGCCAAAGCTCTTTCTGAAGGAATGTTCCCGGAACAAAATGTACAACCATAGCTCTTTGTGAAGGAATGTTCCCGGAACAAATCGTACAACCTTGTGAAGGAATGTTCCCGGAACAAATCGTACAACCATGCGAGCGTGCCATAGCTCTTTCTGTACAACCATAGCCCTTTGTGAAGGAATGTTCCCGGAACAAATCGTACAACCATAGCTCTTTGTGAAGGAATGTTCCCGGAACAAATCGTACAACCATGAGAGCGTGTCAAAGCTCTTTCTGAAGTAATAATATAATAACATAATAATATAATAATATAATATAATAATATAAAAAAACAAAAAACAAAACATAATGTAACATAATAAAATAATATAATAATATAATAATAAAATAATAATATAATAATAAAATAATAAAAAAAAAATATAACAATATAATAATAATAATATAATATAATAATAATATAATATTAATATAATAATAATAAAATAATATAATAATATAATAATATAATAATAATACAATAATATAATAATAATATAATAATATAATAATAATATAATATAATAATAATATAATAATATAATAATAATATAATAATAAAAAATAATATAAAATATTATATAATAGTATTTAATAATATAATAAAATAGTAATACTATAATAGTATAATAAGCCTATAATAATACATTAAATATATAATAATATGATACTAATAATATAATAATCTCGTAATGATATAATATTATAATTTAATAACATAATAATAATAAAAAGACAATTTAATATTTTTATAATAATACAAAATGTAATAATAATAATAAATAATAAAATGATAATCATATAGTAATATAATAACTTAATAATAAGATTTGATAGTATAATAATAGCAATATACTCACAAAATAATAATATAATAATATAATAATAATATAATAATATAATAATAACATAATAATATAATAATATAATAATAATAATATAATAATAAAATAATAATATAATAATATAATAATAACATAATAAAATATTTTAAAAAAAAATAATAAAATAATAAAATAATAATATAATAATATAATAATAAAATAATAAAATAATATAATAATAATATAATAATATAATATATAATCATAATATAATAATATAATAATAAAATAATAAAATAATAAAATAATAAAAAAAAAAATAAAAAAAAAAAATAAAATAATAAAATAATAAAACAAATAAAAAAAAATAACATAATATAATAATAAAATAATATAATAATAATATAATAATATAATAATATAATAATATAATAATATAATAATAATATAATAATATAATAATATAATAATAATATAATAATATAATAATATAATAACAATATAATAATATAATAATAAAATAATAAAATAATAATATATAATAATATAATAATAATATAATAATAATATAATAATAATAATAATATTATAGCATCATAATAAACATACAATAATATAACAATGTAATAAGATGATACTAATAATATACTAATTTAATGTGATAATATAATCAAACAAACATAACAATATAATAATATACCGGATTGGAAAAGAATCGTATACGAATAATATGTTTGTGATGCGCACATTTCAAATATTGACGTTGTATACGTGTCACACATTTCAGATATTTCAGATATTTCAGATATTTCAGATATTTCAGACATCTCAGATATTTCAGATATTTCAGATATTTCAGATATTTCAGACATTTCAGATATTTCAGATATTTCAGACATTTCAGACATTTCAGACATTTCAGATATTTCAGACATTTCAGATATTTCAGATATTTCAGATATTTCACATATTTCAGATATTTCCAGAATATTTCAGATATTTCAGATATTTCAGATATTTCAGATATTTCAGATATTTTCAGATATTTCAGATATTTCAGATATTTCAGATATTTCCAGATATTTCAGATATTTTCAGGATATTTCAGATATTTCAGATATTTCAGTATAATTTCATAATATTTCAGATAATTTTTTTTTTTTCAGATATTTCAGATATTTCAGATATTTCAGATATTTCAGACATTTCAGATATTTCAGGATATTTATTTTCGGATATTTTGGATATTTCAAACATTTCATTGAAATGTTCAACATAATTAATATCAGAAAAATCTCTGAATCTCTGAAATCTCTGATAAATCTGAAATATCTGAAATATCTGAAATATCTGAAATATCTGGAAATCTGAAATATCTGAAATATCTGAAATCTGAAATATCTGAAATAAATCTGAAATCTCTGAAATCTCTGAAATCTCTGAAATATCTGAAATATCTGAAATGTCTGAAATATCTGAAAAAATATCTGAAACATCTGAAATATCTGAAACATCTGAAATATCTGAAACATCTGAAATATCTGAAATATCTGAAATATCTGAAATATCTGAAATATTTGAAATATCTGAAATATCTGAAATATCTGAAATATCTGAAATGTCTGAAATATCTGAAATATCTGAAATATCTGAAATATCTGAAAAATCTGAAATGTCTGAAATATCTGAAATATCTGAAATATCTGAAATATCTGAGATGTCTGAAATATCTGAAATATCTGAAATATCTGAGATGTCTGAAATATCTGAAATATCTGAAATATCTGAAATATCTGAAATATCTGAAATATCTGAAATATCTGAAATATCTGAAATATCTGAAATATCTCAAATATCTGAAATATCTGAAATGTCTCAAATGTCTGAAATATCTGAGATGTCTGGAATATCTGAAATATTTGAAATATCTGAGATGTCTGAAATATCTGAAATATCTGAAATATCTGAAATATCTGAAATATCTGAAATATCTGAAATATCTGAAATATCTGAAATATCTGAAATATCTGAAATGTTTGAAACGAAGGAAAGCTTCCAAGCAGTAAAATGTAGATCATAGAAGGGCCTGTTGCCATATATATATATATATATGCAACCCCCGCAATGGATCTACATGTTTGCTGTTTCAAGGCTAGTTTGGCGATGACATTTTCATTTGGCATGCCCCATGCGACTTGTTTGCTGTTTCAAGGCTAGTTTGGCGATGACATTTTCATTTGGCATGCCCCATGCGACTTGACCAGCATCAGCTCACCCTAAGCAAGGAAATCCTCTTCGGAATCCAAGTTGGAATAACATTTTTTTTGAAAAGGAAACCCCATTTAAATTATCTTTAATGTTAGAAATTCTACTAGAATTATGCCCTTATTAGATTCCATTTAATTCTAAATAGAAAGGGGAGAAGCAGTATCCCAGCAAAGGACGTTCTCTCAAAATATATATTTTGAAGTAAGAATCCCAATTAACAATGTTCTTCAAAATGGAAATCCTATCCAAATCCTCTTTAAGTCTAGAAATCATATTAGGCGTCGTTCACTTTTAATGTCTATTGAAATTATAATTGGACAACTGAACAAAACGTCCTGGAAGAGGACATCCTTTTGAGCATCTAATTTGAAATAATAATCCCAACCACTAAAAACCGTCTTTCAAAAGAAACCTATGTAAATTATCTTTGAAACTAGAAATTCTAATATAATTATGTCCTTATTTAATTCTATTGAACATATGCCAACAAATCAACACGTTTGAACATCTAGTTTCAAATAAGGCTTTTGACTACAAATCTTGTTCGACAAGGAAATCCTATGTAAACCTAGACACTCTACTAGGGTGTGGTCCTTATTAAATTCCACTTCAATTCTAGTTAGAAGATTGAACAAACACGGTCCTAGAAAACGACCCCCCCCCCCCTAAAATCATCTTTCAATTTCTACTTTGAGACACGTTTTTTGTTTTGTTTTAATGTTAACCCTTGTTGAATGCTTTGAGTTCCAGAAAAAAAAAGCAGCAAGCAGAACACAGTGAGTTTATTTGAACAACAAACATGTTTCCATTCATTGAACAAACATCGACGAGCAATAAGTCCGATTCCTATAAACGTGAGTCAATAAACCCCAAACCCTACACCCTAAACCTGTCCATTCTACGCTGAGGTTTGGTCGGAAGATGCAAAACAGCAGCTATGTTGGAGCCAATGACCCAAAAGTAAAAAGTGCAAAGTAACATTCTGGAGTCAATAGCCCAACAGTAAACACAAAAAGCAAAAACAAGTAAGCCACTAACATATTTCAGTCCATGGTCAAAGCATTTTACTTCAGGACCATCGGCTGACTTGTTTTACTACTTTACTTTTACCTTTTTACTTTGTTACTTGTTGCTGATTGTTTTACTTTACGCTTTTACTTTTGGGCTATTGGCTCCAGAATTTTACTTCTTTACGTTTTCACTTTTGGGCCAATGGCTCCAACATAGCTGTTGTTTTGCATTTTCTGACAAAACCTCAGCCTAGACATAGGACAGGTAGATCCAAATCGAATGGATTCAAGATTCCCTGAAAGTTTGGCCTACTGCTTTCCAGAAAGCCCAAAACAAGGCAGAACACACGATACATATGTATGTATACGATCATGCAGAGTGCAGACATTAATCATTTTGCTTGTTGAGGTGTTTTGAAGGAAGACGCACGGAGTGGCTTTGCTTTTGGGAAGGCCCTGAGCATGTTTTCACCTTACCGAAGACCGTTCGCAACTCGCCCCTCAGGGAGTTGGAAAGCCCCATCAAAGCCTTGAGCCTGTTGTAAATGCTCATTGCGAATCCATGAAAAGAGCAGAGACGCGACGCCTGGGACTTTCTCAGGTGGATTGCGGGTTTCGGGCCCGGCTAGGGTGATTGACAGGAGGCTGCAGGAGGTTTGATTCAAGGATGGGTCTTGAAATTTTGGGCGGGTCCCTAACCTCTAGGGTGGTTTACAAGATGGTGTTGCTTTGAGGTTGTGGGTCCTTTTAGCTTTTGGAGTCTGCGAATTGAGGCGGCCTTGCCCCGCGAGTGGACTCCTACAACTCGGAGCGCTCCATGAGCACCGTCTGCCCTACGCACCTCGGCATCCGCAGTACGTAGAGCTGAGTCCTTTTCATAGGTGTCCTTCTTGGTCGTTTTGGTCGAAAAATAGATGGCGATTCCTGGTTTACCTGGTGGCTTAATCATCTACCGGGGAAATCCATCTATTTCCCCTAAAAGGACACCTATGGTCCTTTTGGGTTGATTGAGGTGCTGGTGCGATTTGGTCGATCATGTTGGCCGCATATTAATCTACCCCTGTTTCTTGATAGGGGGGTGTTCTCTCCAAAAGCGACGATTCCCCACCAACACCAGGGACACCTCCATGTTAATAAACTGGGGTTGAGTAATATGGGGTCAACATGATGCTGCTGGCTTGCTTCGAAATCATGTTGACTGAGTAAGTTGTTTTTGTGTCGCGTTTCAGGTGGTATGACCATGGGAGAACTTGGGGATAGTATTGGCCGAAGGCATGTACCCTCGTACATACCTGCAAGCCCATAGCTGGTATTACACTTACTTCTATGACGATGACTGCTATTCCTGCTCCTCCTTCAGTCTTGCCAGGCCTTCACCCGCTTTGTTACGTAGCGTGTTCTTTTGCGAAGGCCGCAGTTCAATTGAACCTGCGGCGAGTCCGCAGCAGCAATGAGGTTGTTGATTTATGCCTTGTTGCACCCCCCACAAAGGTAGAGGCACCGTTTTCATGCCGGACATACCCACGCAACAGGGTCGCCCGAACCCTGGTGCCAAACGAGATGAGCGAGTTCTCTTTTGCTATCTACTCCCTTGGTATTCGGGGCAACTCTCCTTATGGGCCATTCTGCTGGGGAAAGCGATCGCGCAGGTAGGTTCGCGTAGGCATGTGTTGCCTCCCAAAAACTTAAGAGTAGCGCCTGCGAAAGTCTGCGTAGGCACTCCATGCGCGTAGGCGCCCTTCCATGGTGTTACGCACACACCCGCCGTAGGCATGGCTGCCAGTGCATAGGGCCGATGCACCCGAAAACCTGATAAACGCCACGCACCGAATGCAGAGCAATCGCCAAAAGCTACCGTTGTCTGTATTTAGGTGTGTGTGTGTGTGTCCCTGCCTATCCATATACCGGCCTGTTGACCTACTGATTTGTCCACCACAACACGCAACTATCTGTTTGTCCGCCTGTCCGTCTACGCATCATTTATCTGTTCATCTACCTATCTGCACCTATCTTATCTAATCTAATCTAGTCTGATCTAATCTAATCTTGTCTAGTCTAGTCTAGTCTAATCTATCTATTAGTCTGAGCGACCGACCAATTAACCGACGCTTTTTGATACGGTCAGGATCCAGCAAAAAGAAAAGGCCCCCCACCCCCCCCCCCCCCCACGTCAAGGAAGACACATGTTGCAAGTCATACAAATCGCACATCAGCCTTCCCGACGGTAGTTTTGCCACCTGCGAATGGTGACCGCATGCGGACGCTTGCGGACGCAGCGGGGCATCTCGCAAAAACATGCTGACCCCCAGACCCCTTTTTAGAACAGGAACCGTTTTGCGACGCCTTCGAGAAAAACTATTCTCAGATGTTGCTGGATATGGATATTGGGAGTATCATCACTGAACTGTTTACCAGATCCCAAGAAAATTGGGCCATTTTGCAATCTATCCATCAGGCCCAGTTGTAGCATTATGTTCACGGAAATATGCTTGAACGCTTTCTCAAATGATAGTTTTCAAACTCAAAGCCATTTGCGCATTCTCCAAAGCAGAATGGCTCGAGAGTCTGTAGTCCGCTGGCTTCATGTTGAAACGATGTTCACGTTTTACTGCCAGATACGAACTTCTCATTGCATAGCACCCTAGGTTCCCCTCCAGCAAAACATGCCCTTGTCAGTGGGATTCCTTCGGCAGGATACCACAGCTTCCAGATGAGAGGCGCGACCTTTGCGTGTGCTGTCGCGGCCATGCCACACTTTGATTCCAGGCGCCAGACTTCAAAAGCTCGTGTTTTATTGCGGAAACAGACGCCAAATTCTCTTGAGACCGCCTTTTACATTGTGAATGCGCATATTTTCCTTGTTGCCAGGGGACACGGTTGCACTAGGGTTTGGCTGCACTTTCTTGATGTGGTTGCGTGTCGCAACTAGGACCCTTAAAGGGAAAGACATGCCAAACAATTCGATACTTCCCTATGAAAGAGTTGGTTCAGCCATCTCTCAATTATTGGCAACCTTTGCAGGGAGCCAAGGCTGGAGCGCTTGACCGAGATGCTGCAGGAGTATTGCGTCTTGGCCACGAGGGGAATCCCGCCGGCCGAGCCTGCACGGGGATCAGTCCTGATTTCGTTTGGTTGTCAACCCACTGAGTAAACCTCCCTCATTTATTCGCTGAACATGTTGAACCCCATTGACGTTCTTTTCTCGGATCTTGAAACCATGAGCCCCCGCGCAATATTATTGACTTTTCAATCAGCGCACCCAAAAGTGTCCATGTTTTATGTGTGGGGGAGGGGGTGGTTCAGGTGTTGGTGGTGCTGGTGATGCTGGTGATGCTCGCGATGCAGGTACACTGCCAGTAATGATGCTGGCGATGCTGGGGTTGGGTCCAGGTTGTTGCTGAAGTGCCGGCAGCTGGAACTTTACACATTTTGTGGCATGAAGCATGAAGACATGCCAAGCAATCTCAGGATCTGAATCTGAACTTGCAATGCAAAAGTTGACATGCGGCACCAATCACACGACGCAAAAAGAAAAGAAAAGAGGTGAACTTGACAAACATGAAACACTTGAATGATTCGCCGTTGGAATGGGGGCGGGGGATGGATGAGTTCGGGAGAAAGAATAGTTGTTTTCCCGGCCCAGGTTTTTGCTGGGCGAAAGGGTACAAGACGAAGTGTTGGATTTCAACCACCAAAAGGATTTTCACCAACAAAATGTTGATTCACAACAATTGTATCAACAAGTATATCCTCTGTCAACATGATCCTTGGTTTCTGCAGTCCATCGTTGCCCATTTGGAACCAGTTTGGGCGTCCCGATGCGAATTGCAACCGCCAGCCTTTTTAGAACCTCACTAAGCAGGTCAGGTTCCAACTAGCCGCAGTCAAGGGCACTGAGTCGTTTTCACGTTTCAAAGCAACATCCCCTGCTTTTGCCAACCACAAAGAGTTGTTCTCAGGTTGTTTGAAGGCAACCTCCCTGGTTTTTCCACCCACCACTTTTTCCAAACACAAACAAGTGTCTTTTCTTCTGACCGCCTTTCTACCCACTACCGTTTCCAACCAACCACAAACTCCCCGATGTTTTTTCCTGACCGCCATTTTACCTTTTGGTTTGTAGGCCCCTTGGTTTTCCAACGCCACCCCAGGTCCAACCATCCGCGGTTTCCTTCTCAGGCGGCGACGTGGCGGCGCTGCAGGCGGACCTGCGGCAGCTGGGCCTGCGAGCGGAGCTGCGGCCCGGAAACTCAAGGGCTTCGAATGGGACCCGGCGCGAGGCGTCGATTTGTTTTTGTTCATGTTTTTTTTGGTATTTAATGTGTTTTTTCTAAATAAAGTTATTTATGTCAGTGTTTTTCTTTTTCGTTTTTCACAAAGGCCAGGGTTTCACTTGATGTTCTCTTTGGTGTTCTTGCTTGGGACAGGCTAGGGTTTTCCTTTGATTTTTGATGTTTTGTGTTTTTTTGTTCTTGGGTTCCGTTTTTGGAATGACCAAGAACAGAGAGTTTCTTGGGATCTATTTGTTGCCCGTGTTTTTTTCTTGGGGGGTTCCCTTGTTTAAGATTGGTTGGTTTAGGGGGCAAACAGGAAGCCAATCATTTTGCGTGAAAGGCGCTGGTTCTGCGACTCACGCTGCCGAAATAGATTCAATCAGCGCAGGTTGCACAGGCTGCACTGAGAATGGCTGCTTTAGGTTGTGAGTACGCTGCTGCAGTTTGAGTGCTTTCTATCTCAAAGGACGTTTGGCGACACACTTCTCATGCAAAGGTGCCGAAGAAGCAGGAAGACTGCGATGAAGCGTCGGTAAGTTAGGGCACTAAGCTTGCTACGCCAGCCGCGGCGCTCCTTGCCCCAACTAGTGTGCAATCAGCCGTAGGTGCTGCATAGCCCTCAGGTCATTTGAGTAGTGGCCTTGTTGCAGTGCCTTGTTGTTATTAGTTTTGTCAGATGCAGTGTTCGTTTGTTGGTTGCAAAGCTACGCAGTATGCGCCTGACAACTGTTATGCCACGAGAATTGGCGGAGGGGGCAATACATGTTGTATGACTTTCAAACTTTGCATTTCTTCTTTGTTGGCCAGTGCAAATGACACAGTTCTCTCTGGGATGTTCCAATGAGTTATTCGTATGTGTGGATCCTAACACCTCGCAGTAAGCACGCGACACATTTTCCGAAGGTATTCCAATGTTGGGTGTCTGGGTGAGTGTGTGTGTGTGTGTGTGTGTGTGTGTGTGTGTGTGTGTGTGTGTGTGTGTGTGTGTGTGTGTGTGTGTGTGTGTGCGTGCGTGCGTGCGTGCGTGCGTGCGTGCGCGGGCGGGCGGGCGGGCGGGCGCGCGCGGGTGTGTCTGTGTGTGTGTGTGTGTGTGTTTCTGTGTCCTCACAATATGCGCTCGACGCTGCCAGATCTGCACTACTTCCTGAAAGGATTCAGCAGCACTTTCTGGTTTCACGTACTTGTAGCTCTGAGTGTGAGTTTCTTTTGCGCGTCGCTGGGCATGTCCCTGCCCGTGTCTTGCGAAGCCTTGCACCAGGACTCAGAACAGTGACAAGCCTAGAGCCGCAGACACGTTGTTAGGCCATGGTGTGGCTGGACCCCCCCCCCTCCTCTGCAGGCTGAAACGAACTGGGTTTTTCACTGGACTTCCTGCAGGTTTTAATGCGTGCCCCAATGTTGACTCGACAATGGACCCAAGATCGCCAGCACTTCTGCGCTCATGTCGCTGGTTTGTTCGGCTGAGCCCTTGCTGTTCCCTCTGGCCACTAGGTCCCCCAGCCACGTGCCCTTTGATCGTTTCTTTTGTTGGAGGAGGGTTCCCCTAGTAAAATAGACAACCGAAAAAAGAAACGGCACCAACTTATTCTAACCCCTTAAATCAGGAGGGCTAGGTTTGCTTTTGGGGCATCCCTAGGTTTCCGGTTTGTGTTGGGGAATCCCTAGATGAACCTTATAAACCCACCTGCAGCTCTCAAAGTCCCGTCGCCAAGCCGAGCTGAGGCTGGATGAGGAGGCCGAGCTCAGGGAACCGCGAAGGTGCCCAGGATGCCATTCGCTTCACACGAAAACTGAGAGGGGTCCTTAAAACAGAATATAATTCCGAAAAAAAAAGGAAAAAAAACAAACAAAAAAAAAACAAGTAACACAAATAAATAAGATAGACATAAAGATGGATTGCACGTTCAAAGAGGTAGTGAGCTGGCAGCTGATGTTGCTGTCCGAATCCGAACTGCCATTAAAACTGTTTGTTGTTTTGTGTCTTTATTTGTCCTCCTCTTTTTTTCTATCCCTCCCTCTCTTTCTCTCTCGCTCTCTCTCTCTCTCTCTCTCTTACACACAGGCATAATACATACATACATAGAGTCTTAACTGAACTTTTGGGAGGGAGACACATAACGCGGGGCTTCACATTTTTGGGCCAGGTTTCCTCCTCATCTTGAAAAAGGGCCGAACAGTTCGATGTGTTTCCGAATCAGGTCGTGATGTCTCTGAATGCTTGGAGCAGTACAAAGCGTTGGTCTTCGCTCAGGATGCTGACGGTGCCACTGTGCCGACGCAATCTGACGATGAAAACCACCGATCACCTCGTCGAGCTCTTCGCAGCTTGGAGTGATGCGCGTGTGGGTCTAGTGAGTCTACACTGCGAAAATGGGAAGGAGTTTCAGTGGACGTGACCTCAACATGATCTCATTTCCAGGCAATGTTTGATCCAGGGAATATCTCTTTGCATGCCATTTGGGGGAAGTTGCACTCATTTTCGCTGGAAGAATGGTTCCTTTATGTGAGGTGGATGTCGCATATCTCCGGCCATTCAGGATCATGTGGTGGTCTATGGGGGTGATCCAACGAGCATCGCCTTCACCGTGCGGATGATCCAGCTGCGGGATCCGGAGGCCCAGGCGCGACTGCTTCGGGTCCATAGAACCACAGGCAGTCTCTCAGGACGCGAGAACAGGAGGAAGCTGCGCCAGAGGGGAAGTTCGGGTTTTTTTCCATTTGCTTTCCATTTTTTTCCATTTTTCCATTTTTTCCATTTTTCCATTTTCGTTTTTATTTTCCCCCTTTGGTTTTAAAGGGAATCTATCACTACTGGAAATATATTTTTTTCCAGGGGGCTTAAAAGCAAATGGAGGGTTTTGTAGAAGACCTTGTTCTGATGCTGGGTCAGGAGATGCTGCCTGAAAGGAGATCGACCGGCATGGTCATGTTGCACCGTATCAGAGATGCCATGTGAGAAACATATACTGCAGATGTCAACAACATGTTTTGATGCCTGCCTGAATGTATCGAGTCAATGGCGTCAATGGCGTCAATCGATTCCAGGCTGCATTCTAGGCTTGGGATGTTAGAACTTTATTTTTTTTCTCCGCCAACTCGTGGGTTTTTCCCCATTTAAACCACCAAAAGCTAAACCGCCAGTTCACCTCGGCGCTTCCGCTTCAGTGTGTGTTCCGGCTCCACTTCAACGGCCCCCGACCGAGCGGAACAGGGCCTGGGATGCCATGGGTTCCCAGCGCGCCCCGAAATCCCAAAACCGAGGCCGGTTGAAGGTGGGCTGGGTGGATTCCCGAAAAATCTCAGGGTTTTGGTGTTGCGCCCTGGCATGACAAATTTGGGCAATGACCCAGAAGGGTTCAACATAGTTTGGTTTTATCCGGACATGTGCCTTTATTTGGGGTCAATACCCAGTGGGTGTATGGTGTATTCTTAATATGTGATACAAAAACCCGACAGAAGTAACCCCGTGTCGGGATAGGCGGTGGTGCTGAACATGACGCTGCCCGAGAAGCGGCAGACCTGGCAGGGCGTGAACCTGGAGAAGGCGGGGGATGTACCTGAAGTGACCTCCACCCACGGCTTAACGGGGGCCACAAAGTTGTGCCACAAAGGCGGGGGGCCTGGCTTGAAATGAAAAGGATGAAGCCAGAAGATGGGGCAGATTTTTTAAACAAAGCTGACCTTGGAGTCGTCCAATTCGATGTGTTTGGATCGGTTTTTGGACAAGTGGCACCGCAACCTCGAGTACTGTGAAGAGAAACTCGGGCAGCTGCTTCCACACAAAGCTGCGTTGTGGATGTGTGAGGGAATCGCTGTCCCTTTTTGATCCACTGCTTTCAGTTTTGGCACCACTGACCCAGTTGCTCAGAGCAGAAGTCCTTGCATATTTCCCTCTAAATAGGTTTTGGCTCAATTCAGGGACTGGGTTGCTGGCCAGCGATAGGCATGCTGGGGTCATCCTTTGCCACGCGAAGCTGTAAATCGTGACGACATATGGCCTCCAGGTGTGTGAGCTGATTGGGGCTGAATACACCCGACCCGAGCAGCCCCTTCCCATGCAGAGGTTCCATGCTAGCGTGGGGCCACCACACACAGAGCAGCTACAGAGCAAACATTCTGAGAGATGCAACTGGTGGTTTGCGGCTGCAAGCATCCATTCGGTTTGGAACGCAGGCAAGAGTTGCGGATTTGGTGAGGCAAATTCCGGAGCTGCTTCAAGAACAGACAACAGTGTCGCACATGTTTGTGTCAGGTTATCAAATGTAGTTTTTGTGGAGATCAACGTTTTGAACCAGCGTCAAATCAAAGAAGCGGGAGGCCATCGCTGAGCCATCAGAAGGCTGACATTTCGGGTCCTCAGGTGCACTTCGCCAAGGAGTCTTTGCACCTTGCGGAGCACCAGAAGGATATCCGGGGAACGTATTTTGAGCACGCCAAGGCAGGATGCAGCTGCTGCTTCGGTACTTCTCGCCTCGCAAGCTGCACGTGTGGTTCTTGAGTCAAATTGTTTTCAAGACGTCAGAGATCAGGCAACATTCCTTTGTTTTGGTGTGTATGTGCGCATATATGGCACCATCAAGGCGAACATGCTCGTCGACGATCTCTATGATTTCCACCTTCTTTTTCTTTTTGCCTCGCAGGCCGTGGTCATTTTGCCCCTCGTCGACAAGGACATGTCTAAGGCTCCTCTGCACGGCTGGGAGCTCCGCCGCATGGCGCCTTGGTCGAAGAAGCTCGCGGCCGAGTGAGTCGGAGGGGAGGGCCATGGCTTTCGTCGTCGCATGGCTTTTCGTTGGTGCGGTGTGCCAGAGTTCGGTGATTTGCACTTTCCCGGGCAGAGTTCTAGTGATTTTAGTCATATGGAGTTGGCTGACGGGCAATCGCTTGAGACGTTGAGCAGGTTTCTTTGAGTTGCTAGACCCACCTGTGGTCTGGGAGGAAGACTCTTTCCGTCAGCTTTGAGGAAGAGGGATGGCAAGCACACATTATGATATGACATGTTCTGAATGTCATTTCAAAGCCAAGGTGCCACCATCCGGCTCCCTCAAAATTGTATGGGGCCACAAGTGGTTGTTGTTATCTTCGAATGCCTGCTGAGTTTTCGCAGACGTGGGCCAATGGATAACAATTCTTTCTACTTCAGGGAGGCTATCCCATCTGTTGCTTCTACTTCACTTGGTGGTTCCCAGGCATCCCCTTAGCTTTTAGCTTTCTGCCACTTAGTGGTTGGATTTCCATGTAACCCACCAACAGTTCGTCACTTTTGAACCGAACAAATCTGAAAGCCCAGTTCAGAGAGGCACATGTCGGTTTTTTTTGGTGCTGCAGGTGGACTCGGACACCATCTTGACCACCAACGTCATCGCCACGCGGAAGTGGACCGCCGAGAGCTTCCAAGACGTGTGGACGGTCACCCAGCTCTTCCAGGCCGGCCTTTGAGCCGATTCGTTGTCTCACCGGGGGGGGGGGGGGGAGTTGGGTCAAAAGGTTCGACATCAAAAGGTACAAAACACGTGACATGGGATGGCCATACTGTGGATGGTTGCGAAATCCGTTCTCCCCACTTTGAAGCCATGGTTGAGACCATGGGAAAGTTTGGTATTTTCAGGGGAGTCGAATCATTCCAGGGCTTCTTAGGTGGTGCAGGATTTCGTCCATCCACAGTAGGTTGACCAAAAGTCACTAAGATTATGTTTGATCTGTCCCGCGCGGGAAAAGTTACCCATGGTCGTTTGGGGGGCAAACGACCGCACGGAGTGTTTGATCACCCCCCCATGTTCGGGCGGAAGCCTCTGGGGTGAAACAAATCGGCCCCACTGTTCGGGTGTTGGGTTGGCTGGCCGTTCGGAGGAGTCGGATTGGAGGGATGCATACTGGGGCATTCGAGGGTGGCAGGGATGATGGGGATGCGTGGAAGAGTTCGGACATTTCCGCAAAGTGGGCATGAGAATTGAATTGAAGCGAAGCATTTGCTCGGGTTTTCCAGTTTGGCCGATGTCCCAGCCAGCAAAGCTTCTGGGCCGGGCTGAAAGATGTGCCCGTCTTCCAAGAGGCATGCCAGGCAGAACATGCAGCTCTTGTGGAGCAGCTCTCGGTTCAGTTGCTTGGATACGCTGATGGCTTGGAGGGAGAAGCTGCAACTCTGCCGAAACCGGTGACTGCCCGGCTGGCCGGGCAGTCAGAAGAGCATCGTCAGCTTAGAACCAAGAAGAACAAAGCGTCCCCCATCTCACTCCCTTGGAGTGGTATAGCTGCACGCGCTGAGCCTTTTGATCCGGATTCATCTGCACCAAGAAAAGGAGAAGGCGGTCATGGCGCGACGCAGCAGCCCTTCGGGTCAGCATCGTATTTTGAATGCCTTGAATCATATCCAAGCATCAGAAGGATGGGAAGGGGCAGAGTATCAATATGCACGACAGCCCTCTGCTCTTTTTGTAGCATGCCTGGTTGTGCTGAGACTTTAAGCTAGCTGAGCAACAAGGGGATGTTTGGTGGCACTCCCCTTCCATGAGGATACTCTGGATACGCATGACCGTTCCCAACTCGCCCGCCCACTTTTTGGAAAGCCTCGCCCGACCTTTGAAAGAACCTCACGCGATGCTCGAAACTGTCTCAACACCCGTGTTGGAAAAGTCACACTCAGCCTTCAACCAGTCAATGTTGCATATACCGCATTCGAGTGGGACAATGCCAGGAGGGCTCGCTGAACCGCTTCTTCGGCATGCACCTCGGGTCCAACCGCGCTGGGTGCTTGTCCCTCCTTTTTCTCCTTTCAGGATTCTAGTCTTGTGCATTTGCGGGAGAATGCTGTGCGGGTCAGCGATTTGACCTCGTTGGGAAGCTGTGTGTAGATTGGATGCCAGCCCATTTTATAGAGTCGCCAAATGATGAGAGATGCCGACATGCCAAAAGCCTCAGGATGTATATCCCACTGTGTCAGTTCGACCATTCCGATGGTTGGTGTTCTTCAGGCTTCGTTTGTCCGTGGGATTTCGGCAACGCAGCGACCCCAAACCCCCTTTTGCACGTGAAGAGTGCATGGGACTAGTACCTTCTTTGTGGCAACTGCTTCACGCCTCGGCTGTCGCCTCAGTCCCAATCTGAATCAGTTTTGGAAGGGTCCAACTGACCGTGACGCAACTGTTCAAGCGTTTGGAGAACTGGAGAAATATGGCGAGTTTTTCCATGTTGAGCCATGCACTATTTGAAATGAATAATTTTATGTTGAACCATTGCATTTAAGGATGTTGGTGTGTGGCTCTGGATCCCATCCAAACTATATTTGCACATTTACACACATGTCATGTTGAAGCATTGCATTTGAGGGTCCCATGCAGTCTATAATACATATATTTATCTACATAATATATATATATATACTATGGTGTGTTGCGCGGTGGGCTTTCTGGCGCGGTGCCCAAGCCGCCGCCGAGAAGCGACGTCCCGAGGAACCCGGAGGCGCAGGGCGCCACCAGCCTCTTCGAGGACCGGTGGATGGCCTCCGCGCCGCTGAACATGCCGCCCGGCCGCGCCGCGCCGCTCATTTTCGCCCGCCTCACGCGGGGGGGGGGGGGGTTGAGTTGAGACTCAGCGGTTTGGGAGTCGCTTCCATTGGCTGAAAGGATGTTGTTGTTTTTTTTTGGAAATTTTGCCCTGGTGGTTTTAGAAGGAATCGATTTCGCTATTGGAATATTATTTTTCCCAGGGGCTTAAGCAAATGGAAGTGAGCTGTCGGCTGGGTGAAGGTGCTGCGCCTGCCGCGAAATCTGCGCCGCACCTTGCTACAGTGCTGCACCTGCCGCGAAATCTGTACCGTACCTTGCGAAAGTGCCACGAACTCTGTACCTTACCTTGCGAAAGTACTGCGCCTGCCACGAAATCTGTACCTGATCTTGCGAAAGTGCTTCCTGCCGCGAAGTCCGTGCCGTACCTTGCAAAAGTGCTGCGCCTGCCACGAAATCTGTACCTGACCTTGCGAAAGTGCTGCACGAAATCTGTGCCAGACCTTGGCGAAAGTGCTGCGCCTGCCGCGAAATCTGTACCGTAGCTTGCGAAAGTGCTGCACCTGCCACAAAGCCTGTACCTGACCTTGCGAAAGTCGTGCCACGAAGTGAAGAATTTGTTTTTCTTAATCCCTGACAAGTTTTTTTTGATCCTCCGAGTTTTCATTTTAGTAGGAAATCTAAGAGAAGAAGGTTTTTTTTGACTCCTATTTTTGTTGATCTTCAGGAATAAGTTTTGTTTGATGCCTAAAAAGTGTTTTTTCATCCCTCAGCCTGCGGGTCGGCTCTCTGCAGGAGCATCTGAACTTGCTGGCGCTCAGTAGGGAATGAGAAATGGAATGACCCCAAGAAACCAAGAAATCAAACTGGTAGTTTCCTTAAATTGGATTTCTTTGGTTTCTTGGGGATTGCAACTGGTAGGATTCCAACTGGTCGATTGCTTAAATGATGTGAATCCGCAAAACGGTGAGAATCGCAGCGCTCGCATCCGAGCCGGGGCCGCGTTTCCTCCAGGTCGCCCCTCTTCGCGGCGGGGCATGTCATCGCCACCACCACGGTGGATCGCTTCCTGATGGATGCCCGGCGCGGGTTGGGGGCTTGGGGTGAGGCCTCGCGAGGCGTGGGGGGAGGTCGTGGTTCCCATGTTCGCTCTCGCAACAGAGCAGCTAGCCAACACAAGTCTCTTTTTTCTCTCCTTGAGGCGAGGGTGGCTTTTCGCGGATTCTGGAGTCCGAGTTCATAGCCATTCTATGCAGACACTTGAAACGTTATTTAGGTAAAATACCTTCATCAGTTGCACGAAACTAATGACCTGGATGGCTGCTCACTGCACTGACTGGTTGTCTAGCGGTCTAGTGGGACGTGCCATGTTGATGTGCAGCTTTTCTGGTTTGCCCTCAGCTCAGCTCCAAACAGTGGCACAGAGTCATTGCTAAGGGTGCCAAGAGGATGCTGGAAGATGCACCTCTGAGTGGCAAGCCCTCCTGGGCCTTGATTTTGTTTTGTAAACATCCACAGCTCGCTGCGTGGCATTCCTGAGAAATTTGTCTCTACAGCCTTGACCCACCAAGGCAAGTTTTGTGTGGATCCAAATCCAGCCGAAGCGATTCGGGTCGATGCCTGACGTGGCAAGGAAAGCTTCTTCAACCCCGACGCCATGATCATCGTCGAACGGCTGTTTGGTTTGGCTGGGTTTCTTGGCGGCAGTGCCGCCGGGCAGACGCGTCGAGCACGTCGAGCGTCTTCGTGATGTCTTTTCTTTGTGGCTGAAGGGCAGATTCACACCATAGCGATTTTGGCTCAAGAGATCCCTGAAGCTTCAAGCAACAAGCTTTTGAAGTTCTTCCTCCAGTCACATGGACTATAAGGTGCCTATGAAAAACCCTAAATGTGCTAAGAATTGCGATTCTGGGACCTACCCCCCAAGTTTCAAGAGGTGCTGATCACGTCTCTGGAATGGCCACTGGCCGCAGCGCCTCAAGTGCCAACCAGCTGGTGGGCAGAACTGCTTTTCCTACAATAGCGCATTCGCCAACCGCGAGGGATGGCTGCCCAAGTTTCAAGCAGTGCTGGTCACGTCTCTGGAATGGCCGCTGGCCGCAGTCGTAGCCACGAGCGCGCGGGCACCTCAAGTGCCGACCAGCTGGTGGGCAGAACTGCTTCTCCTACAATAGCGCACTCGCCAACCGCGAGAGATGGCTGCCCAAGTTACAAGCAGTGCTGATCACGTCTCTGGAATGGCCGCTGGCAGCAGTCGTAGCCCCGAGCGTGCGGGCGCCTCAAGTGCCGACCAGCTAATGGGCAGAACTGCTTTTCCTACAATAGCGCATTGCTGATCACGTCTCTGGAATGGCCACTGGCCGCAGTCGTGGCCCCGAGCGCGCGGGCGCCTCAAGTGCCGACCAGCTGGTGGGCAGAACTGCTTTTCCTGCAATAGCGCACTCGCCATCGCCAGTGCTGATCACGTCTTTGGAATGGCCACTGGCCGCAGTCTCAAGTGCCGACCAGCTGCTTTTCCTACAATAGCGCATTCGCTAGCCGCGAGAGATGGCTGCTCGAAATCCAGCTTCGGCCGCAAGGGCTGGGGCACAGTTCTCGCTGCAGCGCAGTTGCCTCGTGGAAATGGATTGTAATTCTGAAGCAAGACGGCAAATAGAGTGTGGGTCAGTGGCAGGCGCTGCGTTCTTGATTTTGCTCGGGCCCGGTCAGAGGTCTGTGCGAGGTCAAGACACAGCGTGGCAAGGAAAACCTCATGACTCAGGAGGCGGAAGTTGAACCATGAGCTGCGCAGTTGGTCCTTGACAAACGCCGGCAGCGGTTGTTGCAGGTGGGCGGCGAAAGGGCGAGGATGGCCGAGGCCAGAACAAAACATGTTTGATCCATGGAACCGCCGACCGTGATGTGAAAATATAGGCTGGCAGCCCATGTGACTTACCGCCTTCCCTGCGACACAGAGATCTTCAAAAAAACCTCAAAATTCTTTGTGGCCATCGCCAGGTCACGGGCCCTTGCACCTGAAAGCCCTCGTCTTCCGGCGCCGGAAAGGCACAATTCCGCCGTACGCAAGCGTTTGGCAACTGGGAGCGAGCAAGCGAAGCCGGGCGGGGCAACACGGCGCGGTGAGGGGCGGGAACGCAACCACCCTCCACCCCCAGACTCAAAAGATAAGGATCCTGCATTTGCCTTGGCTGGCCTTGTCGCAGGTGATTGCAGCAGCTAAGCTTTCCACTTTCTGGCGTTGTCCCAGCAGTAGAAGTCAGGAGCGCGTGTGTCCACAAACCAGAAGTTTTCTCATATTCCTCAGCCACCTTGGAATGCTGAATGGACTTGTTATACATCAGCTGACGGCGCGCGATGAGATGCTTCTCACAGTATGGGCCCTTCTGTGGAAGTTCTTCAGCGCATCTTCGGCTGCCCGACGGCCCGTCGAGGGCAAGGGTCAGGAGGTCGATCCGGAAGGTGTTTCAGGTCCCAGACCATCTCTTCAGGTTCAGCAGAAGTTGACGAATTGCAGAGAAAACGAAGGAAGTAAGACTGTAAAGCTGGACTGCGGGCAGCCACACTGACTCGCTGGACGGGTTGCGCGCAGCTTGGAAACCCTGCGGGAAGAACACACACGTTCATATGTTTGACGCACATAAAGTGCCACATATTTGTTAAAATAACCCCTACATATTTTGTTTATATTGATTTGTTTATTTGTTCATTTATTTATTTATTTAGTTTGTTTATTCATTTTTTATTTATTTATTTGATTGTTTATTTATTTATATGTATATCCGTCGACACATGTACGCGCGCGCATGCACCGTTGCAGGGTAGAGTCTTGTGCGAAAGGGCACGCCGTGTTCCAGATCAAGGAAGTCCAAAGTGATTTGTTTTTGGTGTTGTTTGCCGCTTCTGTTCCTTCTGGTTCAGGCATTTTCCTACCGCCCCATCCAGAAGAACTTGGTCTTCCTAGATCGCGTTGCATTCCGAGGTTGACGGTGGGGAGCAAGGCCAGGCAGAAGACTGGGGCATTGGTCGTTTCGAGCACACACGAATTCTACCCGGAATCCTGAAATCAGACCTTTTCCCACCCCCACGGCCCGGTTGCACTTGAGTACGCATCCAATGTCCCAATGCCAAGGCCCCATTACTAGTGCGTTGGCCATTTTGGAGACTTCTTGCTTTTGCTCGAAATGTCCAACCACTCTCTGCAAAGGACGGGCGGGGGCAGCCACGGCCCACCAATCACATCCTAAACGTAGCGCGAGAAGACACGAAACGCTGTCGGTGCTGCCGTGCACAGCGTTTAACGATGTTTAGGTTTGTTTGACCGGGACTGTGGTTTCTCTTGTGGGAACACCCTCGCGAGTTATTTGCGGTTTGTTTTACATGCCAGATGAACTTGATGTGCTATTGTTCAACCGGATTGCTGTGGCCAAATCAGTTGAACATGAACATTTTGATGCGCATGCTGAGAACTGACACCAGCATCCATTTCGCGAGCGTGCCAAGATCGAAGATGAGGACGGCCATGCTCCAGGGAAAGCATAGATTGCGCGCTTGTTGTCCTTGTTTACATTTATCGGTCGCATCAGAACCAGGAACGCTTTTGGGGCTGGTTGTAGACATAAACCAACCAGAACCATTATCGCACACTTGGCACCATATGCCATGTGAAAGGGAAGCTCAGACTCCTGCGCTGCATGGTTTGCTTGTTCATCTGGGCATGGGTCGAAATTAAACAGGATATGGACCGCAGATTTTAGTCCATGTTTCCACTTACCAGGCTTCCCATTTTGAGGTTACTCTATTTTTGACCCACCGCCAGCTCGTTCAAAGACCAAGAAATAGGACACCCTTTTTCTGGTTTCTTAGGCTGTACGTGGTGCCTTCAATTTTTTCATGGCAGAAGCCTTGCAAGCCTTGCAAGCCTTGCTTCGTTAGGCGCGGGGTGGCTTGGGCTCCCAGAGCAACGCCAAGCACCCGTGCGTCTTTCAGATCCCCGCGAAGGTGAAGATGCTGCAGGCATGCAGGCGGGACATGCGGGACTCGCGGTCGACTCGGTGCCGACTGGCAGCTGGTTGGGGTTGCCAAAACTGTAGGGCGCGGTAGGGGAGACAACAGAAACCAACGTGGCACTAACAACATGCAAGACTTAAATAGAAAACAACTAGATAGGTGTTTTGAGACATATGTTCTTGGGTATTTGCAGCTCTGGGATGCAATGCGCGGGGCTTCACAGGCTGAAGCGTTTTTTTTCTGCGAGGACCTTCAGGGAGGCGGCCAACCAACTGCTGGCGGATGCGGAGCCGGTGCTGCCTTTGGGCATCTTCCGGTATCCCAAGGACCGGAGAAGGGAATAGGGGTCTCAGTTGTTCAGGGGCACCAATTCTTTTTCCAATTTTTTCTTTGGTGGCCCCACTAAAACTGGTCCAAGCCCCAAAAAGCGTTCCCTTTTTTGTCCAGGGCCACTGAACAACTGAGGGGTGGGCGGCGGGTTTCCGGGTGAGCGGCAGAGGTCAGATCGAGGGGTTGGATAGATTGAGTCGGGATGCTGTTTGCTACGAAGTCTGGGTTCGTGTTGTTTCTTCTTCGGGAAATCACTTAGCAGTATTTTCAGGAGTCAGCTTGAAGCTTGAAAGAAGTCAGATGTGCGGCTCGCCTTGTTTGAGTTGGTATCCCCTTTGGGTCGGTTTGAAAGGAAATCAAAAGGCAAACCCAGATGATGTTGTTTCATCTATGACGCGTGATATTCAAAACCTCTTTCCTTTGCGGGACCTATGCATCAGGGTGCCAGCCTATGCTCGTTGTCTTGCTTCTTTGAAAATATGACCACACCCCTTCTTTCACTTGCTGGGGAAACTGCACAAGACCGGGCCAACAGTTTTGTGCGTGGCGCCCATACCCATTGGCACGACAATTGACAGGGACCCCCCAAAAAACACTCATTTCCAAGTCTTCTTTGAGGGGCGCTTTCTCGTTCCATGTCTGAGTTCCAAAAGAAAAGGCATACGTTTACTGCAGCCGTCATTTCAATTGTGCATGTACTTCCATGCCAACTCGGACTGTGGGGTAGGTGTAAGGGTGACCTCAAGTCTCAGACCTGGAAAGAAGAGAAGAAAACACAGGAGGCTACCCTTCCACCGACTAACATGGAAGTGCAAAAAGGCCCTTTGCGAGAGGAAAGTAGTTTGTGCACTTCCATGTTAGCTGGTGGGAGGGTACCCCAAAAGGCGGATGCTTCTTCGGCTTCACCGGTTCCATCCGCCTCAGGGCAATCGCTCCTCCTACTCCATGCTGGTTAGCCAGCAGCTCAGGATTGATGCATCACAGCTAAGGTGCGCGAGGGGATTTGTTCGGAGACCCCGACACTTGATCAGAATGGCCAATTGGAGGGCTGAACACATTTTCGAGATATGTTATATGTTTTTTTCTTCGGGGGCCCTCAATCATTGTGGTTTTCCTTCTGATTTCCCCCCTCTTAAACAAACCCCAAACACGGGTAACCCCCCCCCCTACCAAACACGAATAAACCCCAAACACGGCCACCCGTATATGCCCATGGAGCGGATCATGGCCGCATGGTGCCCGAGCTCAGGCCTGGAGGCAGCGCAGGAGCTGGACTTCCGGTGCCCGCAGTTCGGGGCCTGCGACGACCTAGGCGCGCCTTCTCTCGGGGCGAGGGGAGTGGGGGGCTGAGCCCGGGCTTGGGCCCCGAGCTAGGTGCCCTTTTACCGTTTCTTTTTTGGTTGGGAGGGCTCCCCTACGAAAATTGACTGGGTACCCTTATTCTAACCTCTCTACTGGAGGACCCAGTGGCGGTCTGGGCCGTGCCTTGCGCTTCGGACGGACAGAGGGGACACCTCTAGATTCTCAAGCCGACCTGGAAGACCTTTGTCACTTTTGTTTCCACTTTGTCATTTTTTGAGTCAATGCCCCAAACAATGATCACCATTTTTTTGTCCAGGTTCTCTGGGGAAGTGTTGAAAAATCAACGTTCCGTTGCGGGGCCGAAGACCTTCACAGGCAATGATGTCGTACGTTTGATTTGAAACCTGGCTGTAGCTCTTCTAGGGCTACCAGAATAAGCGAGAGAGAGAGAGACCCGGGTGCTGCTATTCTGACTGACCCTTTGGTAGGACATACGCTGTCTCTGAGTCTCTGTGTCTCTGTGTCTCTGTGTCTCTGTGTCTCTGTGTCTCTGTGTCTCTGTGTCTCTGTGTCTCTGTGTCTCTGTGTCTCTGTGTCTCTGTGTCTGGGACAAGCTGAACGTGAGCAACCCCGCGCATATAGATGGGCTTGTCAATCCAGAATTCCAATAACTTCGCTTGGACAAAAGATGATAGGATCTACGGTAACATAAGCCAGTGGTTCACAGCACAAATCGAAAACAGACTGGCAAGGCGCAAAGACGAAGTGGGAAAAAAGCGGCATGTGCGATACCATGCAGGCGCTTTCAACCCGCCGAGCATATCAGCAACTCTTTCTCTCTCTCTCTCTCTCTCTCTGGGATAGCCAGCTGAGTCCCGAATGAGCAATGCCGGTAAGATTCAGATCCGAATCAAACTGAGACCCTGGATGTTGTCATGGACACGCACACACAAACACATGCACACGCATACACACAGGGAGCGCGCACACATACAGACACAAACAATGGAAAAGAGAGAAGGAGATACACATAGAGACACACAGACACAAAGACACGACAGACGCAGACACAGACAGAGACAGAGAACAGCTGAAGGCTCCATTGCTCCATCCCCACTTGCATCGAACCAGACAGACAGCGTCTTCAGGCAGCATCATTTTGCATTTAGTCCCGCCAGTTTCATTTGCGAGCGTCCTGGACATTGTCCAAATTTCACACTTCCTCGCCAGGCTTTCTCCCAGTGGAGGCTTACACATTCGGTCATGTCTCACCTTTTGTTTCACATCTCCATCTTTTGGATGGCGCGCATTGATTTGCTTTACTTTCCGCAGGGAATACGTCTGGAGTTGTTTGTCGTTTGTCCGTCGGGGCGCAGACAAAGTCGAGCCTTGCATAGATGGGTCCGCCGATATATTTTGTACACCCTTTCTTTGGTCGTTTTAAAGGGACACCAACAGGAAAACCCATTTGGGTCCCACCTTAAACAAGACATGCTCATGTTGGCATTTCCAGCCGCTTGCTTGTTGTTCCCCAGGCGACCTGGGCATGTCCAACCGCTTGCCCTTCGTGGTGACCAACCCGCCCAAGGATGGCCGGAACTGGGCCGGTTGGAGTTTCGTTGCCAAAGATGGGATGGCACAAGGGAGACATTGGCCCAATATGCGACTACCATGAAGGCATTGGATCGCAAAAAAGACAGGGGCTACATTCTCCATTTCGAGTCTGTTTACACCTTCCTCTGACTTCCATTGCTGATACACTTTGACCACAAGACTCTTCAGTCTGAGGTCGGAGCCTGTTGACTGCTTTGACTTGGAAAGTGATCCCTACCCATTTCAAAATGGCATAGGGGAGGGAGGTAACCCCTGGAGATCTCCATTTATGGTGAGCAGTATCGTTTTTGGGAAGACTAGAGGAATGAAATCGGGGACTCCCCACCCCCTTCTGAGGGATGAAAAGTGCCACGGCATTTCTTTCGTCGCTCGAAGTTCGACGGCCTCTTGCAGGCCACCACAATGCCCCCCGAACGTGAGGATCCAATTTTTATCGCAGGCCCACCAGGGTGACTTGTTGCCGCTTTGGAAGACAGCCCAAATGTTGGACCTGCGCGGTAGCTGCTAGTTTCACTGGAAAGGTGGCAGGGGTACATTGGGATGTCCGATGACTGAGCGACTGGAAGCAAGCATGAGACATAAGATTCCGTTGCTGGGAGTTTCTGCTTTGGGCTCTCATTGGCCACCAGCCTATGCTGCGACATCTTCTTGGTGAAGAGTTCACGCGTAGGACACCTCGGCTGGAATTGGCGGCCCAGGTTTTGCAAGCGATCCAGAGTGGGGATTTGGCACCTGCTTGAGCTTCTCTGTGGAAATGGACACGTGTCTGCTTTCATTCGCTTTGTTTTCGGGCTGTGCATAAAGTTTCCCTTGAAACTGCATGCGCCACTTCGAGTGAGGCGCTTCTTCTTTCGCCAGGACTTGGTCCTCTTGCCCACGGACCTCCTCTTCGTGCTGGGCCGGCCCCGGCACTTCGCGGAAGCTCCGGAGCCCGCTGCGCCCCATGGCGCCCCGGGCGAATCTCTTGAGTGCCGACGCCTACGAACCGGGTGGTCCAAAGAGCGGCGAGCCCCATCCGGGTGGTTTCCCTTCGGCTTTTTTGTGAAAATCCAAGCTGCGAGGTTCAAGCCTCCATGAACAAACCATGGGGGTGGATGTAACGAAACGCCATGATTTACCGAAGAAATACCTTGCCACTCTCTGAAGTCCATTGGGTTCAGATGATTTCCAACCTGTACCATTCCCATTCAGAGAGTGGTAAGGATCTTCATCCAAATTGGGCCCTTGCCACTCCCTGAATGGGAGTCGATTGAGCCCCAACTCCGTTCCGATGAGCCGCACCCAACTCTCCGAGGACCGGGCAAGGAGATGTCGCCCTCGGACAGCCGCGAGGAGCTGAAGGGCTTGGATGCGGGGGATGTGAAGATCCTGGGTGAATTAGAACGACCTCACACGACCTCACCCCAAATGGTGGTTTATTCTAATTCACCCAGAAGATCGGATGCGGTTTGGGCAGTTTTTTTGTTACCCCGCCGAGTAGCGTGGAGCCTGACGTAAAAGGGGGGTCTCTTTTTCCAAACCTGGACCCCGCTGTCAGCGTCCATGTTAATCGGTGGAAGGGAAAGTGAAACCAAGGGAAGCAGTTCGAAGAAATTGATATCTGCCTAATTACCAGGGAAGCAGAAGCGGATTGGATGGGCCCGTTTTTGGCCATGTCCTATTTGAATTGTCGATGAAGCGTAATTTGTTGCTCTTGCTCACCAGCTCTGTTGCCAGGGGGGCCGAGAGTGTTTGCCAAGAGTGCATCAAGTTGAAGTTGGCTTTGTGGGCGCGTTTGATTGGTGCGATGACTTTTTTTGGACCCAGATGCATCAATCCCACCGCCACCCTGCCCGAACCCGCAGAACCGCCCTCCCCCAACCCCTCCCACCCCCTTTCCAACCAAACCGCTGGTTTTGCAGGACTTGACCACGGAAAGACTGTGATGCGGGCCTGGCTGAGACAGAGACCCTGCAAAGGAACTTGTGACTTGCGAAGATGCTTGAAACCTTTGATGACTATTCACCTTCACAACGAACATTTTCGAACCACTATCTCAGAAAGTAGAAAGTGGGTATTCTTTTGGTTCGATTTCATATCATTCAAGGAAAACGCGGCCTGGCCCTAACATGCGCAAAACATGTTCAAGCCTTTGCATCGATGAGTCAACTCAAATTTTGCACACGGTCTCTGGTCGCCATGACATCCGACTGGGCGCGCGGCCCGAGGAATTTTCCAGAGAGTGTTTGCTTCTGACGAAATGTCTGAGTTCTACTTCTACGTCCCATGCTCTTGAAGTTGTTTGAGTTTGGCTCGTTCGCTTGCAGTGTTGTCCGGCCTTTGCACGGCAAACTTTAAGACTTTGTTCGCTGAATCGGTATGTACAGGAGAAACGAACAGCAGGGACAAAACCTGAGCACAAACTGTTGACTTCGATGATTCCATGATTGGCTACACGTGTCCAGGGCATTGAGATCGAAGCCTTCGCTACATTTTAACATCCCGTTGGATTCCCATGTTCCGGCGTAGTGCTCGTTTGTTTTTAGCATTGGGGGAATGAGCAGCTTGGCAAGTTTTGCCTTCCCCCTCAGGCATGAGACAGCGGACAAACGGAAAACAGACAAGTTTCACCGGGCCCTGGGGCAGTCGTAGAGAAATCTAGAGTTGTTTCCCTGGTGTTTGAGGGAATCTGTTTCGGGAGATTGTTTGAAATCAAGGGAAGTCTCATCATCCATTGTGAGGGTTTTCCTATCTTGAGACAAGGCCATCTAAAGTTCTGATGTAAACTTCACGGAGTAAACTGCCTGTTGTGCTCGCACTAAGACAGTGCTGGCCGTTCTCGTTCGCGCAAAGTCGTGCTCTGTGGTAGCTGGGCAAATGGTCAGGTACCCCCAACAACTTGGTGGTTTGGATGAACGGTGGGAGTGAGCTTCGACTCTTGCCGTTGCTTGAGCTGACTTGAATTGTTGTCGGTTGGCGCCCGCAGACGTTCGAGCACCAACCAAACCGACCAAAATGTTTGGGGGTACGCTGACATGGCAGCGGCAAGGCAATCCTGACCTGGGCCGGATTCTTTTTCCAACCTTGGACCCAAGGTCAATGCTGCCTTCTCCAATGTTGCTTTCTCTTAGCTCGGTGCCTTTGTGCAAGCCAGAGAGGCTGAGCCAGCACCGCCTCCGCGCGTGAATCCCGCGGGTTAACGAACGGCTGCCTTGCAAATGCAAGCCTGGCCAAGATAGGATCTATAGCTTTAGGTTGCGACCACTTGGATGCATCATGCACGGAAAAAAAGAAGAAGAAAACAAGCTCACCTTGCTCGGCCTGGGTGGATTTGAAGATCGCCGAGGCAGGTCTTTTCATCAGAACGGCGTTCATACGCACTGAAGATTCTGAGTGCACGAACCTTGGAACATGGATTGAGACCTTTGACAGCGTCCACCATAGAAACTCACGAGTACGACATTCAGTTCTAAGTGCCAGCTTCATTTGGCTTTGGCTCAAAAATCCGGAATTCCAAAATGGAACCCTGGTAAGTGGACACATGGACCAAAACCTGCGTAACCCCTCCTGTTGAATTTTGAGCCACACCAATTTGCCCGGCTATTTGTCTTCCAATTTTAAGAGTCGAGATGGGATTTCCTGAATTTGTGGGCAGACCCCACTGTTCTCCTCGGGTGTAGGCGGGTTGTAGATTTCCTATGAGGACATGGATCACGAGCAAGTCGGCTGTTTCACTTGCCGGTTCCCAGTAGGGAATGAGGAAATGAACCCAAAATCCCCTTAGATTTATAGGAAGCCACCAGTGGGAGGCTTTGTAAGGGTCATTCCATTTCTCATTCCCCGCCTATCGCAACAGCAAGTTCACCAACACACTTTCTGGGCCCCTTTTCAAGAGGCGGAGTGGAGCTCGCAGGATTGGGGAAAGGTCCTTGGCAAAGAATTATGGCCCAAGCTTCTAGACAAGACTTGGGTGGCAAAGTCGTACTGTGGTCGGAATGCGTTCGGAGCAACCACGCATGGCGATAGGCCGCTTTTTTGCCACTATATGCACCTCAGACCTTCTCAATGCTTTGTGAGGTAAGAGTGGTTGACAGGGACGCAGGTTTGTTGCCAGCCTGGAGTTGCCAGCTGTCACGAGAGAGCGGCTTCGCAGGTGGTCAAAAGGCTTGACACTTGACCCGGCGTCAGCGAATTCGCATGACAGGAGCTAAAGGCAAGAAGTACGGCGACCGAGACGGTGCGCATCCCATCCTCTACAGCTCCGGGGTTAGGGGGCATGGGGCAGTGGCGGCGGTCAGGAGGCAGAAGGGAGGTAAGCGGTGAGTCAGTGAGTAGCATTGCAGTAAGACAGTCTTGAGGCTTTTATCGTCAGATCCAGCATCAAACCTAAAAGGCATCACTGGAATAGGCTTTTCTTACCCATGGATTCTGCCTTCATTTTCAATCACGGATTTGCACGAGCATTGCCAATCCAGAGCATTGCCAATCCAGAGGCCCAGGTCTCAGCTTCTTAAGCCTGAAAAAGGGCCATGCGCTCAAGCGCTTGGACATTTCCATCTGGGCTATGTCTTCAAAGGCGACGCGAGGGGCCATGTGTTGTTTCCAAAACGGTCACGGAACCTGAATAATTTCATACCGAACCAAGTGCGCAACTGAGAATGTGGACCGCAAGATAGGTGTACCGGTAGGACAAAGGGAGCATATGTTCCCAAGCTTCCATTTGGTTATGTTTTTATTTTCCCCTGTTGATTTTAAAGGGAATCTATCACTACTGGACTTTTTTTTTTTTTTCCAGGGGACTTAAGAAAATGGAGGCAAGTAACATCTCAAGGCTCTTCCTCACGGCGCCAAGTGGCGAAGGCATGGCACCCGTAGGGTTTCCTTGTTGGCTTCCTATACAACCTTTCCGTATATTACCATTCTAGCAACCGCTAGTTTTACATCTTAGTTGTTTTCCTTTTGATGTATTTCATATGTCAACAGTCAAAGTCATGAGTGCATTTCCCGGAAAGCTTTTGCGCCAGCAGGTTGATCTCTTCGTTTATTGAGTCGCTTATATAGGGTTCTCAATGAAACAAGCTGCTCGGACTCTTGGCAAACATTTTGTGTGTGTGTGTGTGTGTTTCAGATCTCGCCAGAGCGAAGCCTGCGGGCTGGCTTGGAGAAAGCTTCAGCGGGCACCCGAAAACTGGACTGAGACTCCACCCGCAGGCGTTCAGACTTTGGAAAGCTTGGGCTGAAATTGGGCACCTGGAGACATGGAACAATAGGCATTGTCTCAATTCACACCTCTTTTTGAGAGTGGTGTCATTGCACAAAAGCCAACTGATTGGCCCTAATGTGAGGCCAGATGTTTGCATGATAGAAAGCGGGTTTGCTGTGGTACGCGAGGGAGCACAACATCACAGACCTTCTGTGTCGATGTGTTCAGTCATAGACCTTCTGTGTCGATGTGTTCAGTCATGCCATCGGCCAGTCGTCAGTGATAGACCTATCAAACCCCTACCCCAACACGACTCATTTCTGAGGTTGCCATTTCAGGAGCTAGTTAGGCAACAGGAATACAACGTATTGCATCTGTGTTTCGAAACCTGGACAGCAATACACAGAACGCAGGAACCTGGGCGGGCGGTTTTCCTTCCCCCTTGTTCTCATTGGCGACTTGTAGGCATCCCATTTGACCTATGTGGGTAACCGTTTGGATTTAACCCTCAGCCGTGAACGATGTTCGTTGCAAGAAAGAATCGCTCGATCTTGAAGAAGTTCAGTCTTGGCGACCTCCACATATAGTTCAGCCAGAGCCGCAAAATCCCGGCCCCTGCCCTTTGGCATTGCTGCCATGCGTGCGCTGTTGCGCCTGTTGGGGGGCTCAGCATTGGCTCTGAGCCGATGTAGGTCCTCAAAAGGGGCAACGGACGGGTCTTCGCTCCTGTTGAATTCGCGTGTGCTAGAGAGACTCAGCCCAAGTGCATTCGACGTTGGATTTGCGGGCACCAGCACAAGCTCCAAGTATTCAAAGCTGCATGGACTGGTTTGGCCCAGAAAATCTACATGAATCGCTTTTAGTGCAATGACCCAGGCTCAACCATTTTCATGCCTAAAACTCCTGGCTAAAGTCTAATCCATACTTTGTATGCAAGACTATGGGCATCTCGAGGTCGTGCGAAAGCGGCGACACGTGGAAATGTTTGGCTGCCAAGCTGGCTCAGCTTTCTGATTGGGGGGCGTGCTTGTTTGGTTTCTTCCATTTGCTGAAGAATGTTTCATATTTTCCCTTGTTGGTTTTAAAGGGAATCTATCACTACTGGAGTTTTTTTTTTAGTTTTTTTTTTTTTTTTTTTTTTTTTTTTTTTTTTTTTTTTTCCGAGGGGCGAAACCGCAAATGGAAGGTTTGGTTGCTTGTTTGGTACCAGTTTGGGTGGTTGGCCGGTGCTCAGCAGGCAGTGATCTGGCAGCACTGCAAGTGAGTCTGGAAAGGTTGATCCATCCGGTAGTTCCCTTAACGATATATATAGGTGGGGATATTTTGTTTTCGGGGATCCCCAAGATTTTGTGGTTCTCCTTTTGGTTTCGCTTGAAAAAATGCCAAAGCAAAAACAGGGGACTCTCAAAAAAAGAAGAGACCCATATTTAACATCATTCACCTTTCTGGATTCAGATCGATGACGTGGCCCCAATTAGGAACCAGCATGATCCATGGTCCAATGTGCGCCAAGCCACGTTTCCGCTGAAAAACGTACCCCAGCTTCAACAGGTTGCGGAAGATGTTGATCTTGAACCTGGAAGAGCGGTTATTACCCGCCCCCCAATTTTTATTAGCCTGGCGGCAGTTTGGGGGACCAGAGGCCGGGTGTCCTTCTTCAATGCTGCCTTTGAGGTTGGCTTGGGAAGCCAAAGGGCGGCCACCCAATTTGTTTTGCGGGTCCCCTCGGTTTTGGGGTTGGTTTAGAGGGACACCAAAAAAAGCCGCGCAAGCGGACAGCAGCTCAGCCGAAAGCTTCCAGGATGCCGAAGGCCTCAAGTGCCTCCAGCGGTGCCAGCCTTGGGGCCCAGTCAAGGGTTGTCTATGTGGGGCCGTGGTGCTTGTGGTTGGGCGGGGTGGGCGGGGTGGGGTGGTAGGTGGGGTGGATTGGGCGGGTTGGTGGGGTGGATTGGGCGGGTTGGTGGGGTGGATTGGGCGGGTGGGTTTGTTTCGTATCCGGCTTCGGAAGCGAGTCGACGAGTTCTTGGGATTCTTGGGTCGATCGGAATGACCTCGCCATGTAGTGCTAAATGTGTTCGCCAGCGTGTTTCAGCAGTCCCGCAAGAATCGGTTTAGAAGCGATGCCGAGGCGCATCACACACTCGGAAGGCTCACACAGGACTGTCATGGAGCCAATGCTCGTGTTGCGACTGTATACATTTGCTCGGTGCATGTTGCAAGCACGGTCATCAACCAAAAGGCTACAGGAGCTTTTGCTGGCACAGAGAATCGTGATGATTCACTGCTTGCCTGGCGTCTATTTTGAGGGCCTTTCTGAGGGCCCTGCCTTCGCTTTGTCGAATGCCTTCACGATGGCGATTGATGGCGATTGCTTCGTTCGACCTTCCAAACGGGTGAGACAGGTTTCCCGCGAGAACTTTTGACACTGTTGCAATCTGAATCCAATTGAGTTATATATTCGGTAACAAGCAAGACGGCTCCAGCCAAGCGTACTTGCCCCACGCACTTCCAACCTTGGGCAAGTAGCTTTCTCTCTGAGCGCAACTAAACTTATTCTCGGGACTGTTGAACCGGAGGGGAGAACTTCATTGTTTGATTACCGCAAAATCAGCTCCGAATAGAGTTGTCTCGTAAGCAGCAAACTTTTCCTGCCCATTGGCCGGAAAAAAACGCGCCAACAGCCAAGCGATGTTACTTTAGAGTTCGGGCCTGCAGAGAGGGTGACAAGTTTCTGGCTGAGGGAATGGGACTCACCTTGCCGGATGTGTCGCTCGCGTCGCACCGAGGTTGGACTCGGACTTGGACCTCGCAGGCCAAAGCTGGAAGATGGCTGTGGCTTTTGAGGTCGTTGCCAAAAGCAAGCGACCATCAAATTTGGACATCAACAAAAAACAAAGGCGCAACGAATCCCTGTGTGGAACAGGGGCATTGGAGAAAAACCGGCTCGTTCAAGGAACGCCTCGTTTCTGCCATTTCGTCTTCCCGAATGCACAGTCTGCCGGTGTTTCCCCTCCGTTGCTGGCCAGGTGAATGGCGAGAGCCAGCCCAGGACCGATGCCTGGGGAAAACATAGCTTGCGAAAAACGGGGAAGGCTTGGTAGGTAACTCATGGCTTCATTCCCTGGAAATTACATTCGCTTCATTCCCTGGATTTTTTTCTCAGCTGCAGGTCCTGTAGGTGTCGGTTGCTTGACTACGCCTTGGATTCCATTCGGCACATTCACCTGCACAGGAGTTTGAGTGCCTGGCAGTTTCAAAGCATCCAGTGCTCAGCGGAAGAGCAACAAGTCAAGTCGTTCTACTGCTTTCTGGGAATGGGCATCTATCCAATGAAAGACTCGTCAACCTTGCCCTGGTCAGGACGCCTGCAGATTCATTAATGTCGTGTGGAGCTTGCCTTGTCAACATCTAGAATCTGACAATGGCTTTGCGTTAGCGCCTTGACCAGCCGCTCTACAGTACATCATTGCTTGTCTTGACAGAGCGTGCAGACAAGTTCCGGATGAATTGCCTCACCAGACTAGTCAGCAAGTCAATCAGACTTTGAAATCCACGTGGCGCCTTGGTTTGGTATAAGTTGAATCAGAGCGGGGTTCCTTTCTGGTTAGCTTGACGCAAAAAACTCTATTCAAAGCAATGCACGTTTCTTGAGGCTTTGAACAAGCAGATTTGAGGGCCGTACCCAATGAGGCTCGCTTTTTCGTGCAGCCGTTGCTCCAGGTCTGCAGCTGCGTCGGCGCATGCTGCAGGCTGTGACTCGAGTGGATTGGCAGCAGGTGGCAGACGTTCAATATCAGCTGGGCAGGGGGAATTGACTCTTACGAAGGTCGCGGTGTTGACACAGATGGTTGGCCAGGTTGGGACCTATCACCACCAATGGAGAGCATGGTAGGATCAATTGAGAAGTTTATCTTTGCAAGAATCAGACGGACGAACAGACGGACACTGCAAGCCGTGCTTCATCAAGCTCTGGGGAGTGTGTTTTGTCACCAAAGTTTGATGCAATTGTATAGCTGAAGTCTATGCAGGGACAGTACTGCTGAGTTGACCTGACTTAGTGTCTTCGAGATTTATTGCCTGTAGCTGTTGGATCATAGCCAGACACATCGCATTCCAATCATTTGAAGGTTTTACTCATTCGTTTTGAGGAGTGGGCCTCAGACAAAGGGTGCTGCATTGCTGCCCACGTGTGACAGTAAGTCGCTATGTTGATTGCAACCCCCATGTGCTCCGGGGTCCTTGCGGATTGAGTGGCGGAGGGCCATTTTTCAGCTAGGTTGTCCCAAGCCAACCAATTCAACTGTTTAAAGCTCCGATTTCCTGAGCCATTTTCCTCTTTACAAGTGTGATTATGGGTGGCGAAGCCTCTGGGCAGAAATCAGCCCTGGATTCAGTAGGTCCGTTGTTCTCTGCGGGATGCCCGAGTTGTTTTTGACGTCCCCAGGGTATACGTTTGCGACCGGATTTGTTCCAATGCCAAACTCTGAGGTTTTCTCCCCCAAACCATCTGGAATCTCAGCTTTTTCGGCTTGCAAGTGAACTTTCCTTTGCCACTTGCCTTTCTCTTGAGCCAGGCGGCAAAGGATGGGGCAAGCACCTGCAGGTGGAGCTGCATGACTGGGGGGATGGCCAACTATATTAGTCTTGTTTCTTTCCCAGAATTTGTTTGCCCTCATGAGAGCCGTTGTTGGGAGCAACCGTTTCCTCGTTCCATTTGAAGATTTCACCCATCGTGCGCTGTCTCGTGCTTGGCAAGAGGCTGAGGTGTTGGGAATTTTCTTGGTTCCCAGTCCGGTCCCTTGGCTTAGCTTTTTAGTTGGTTTAGTGACTCCATTCAACCCACTCAAAGTTAAACTTTGACCAGGGATCTCAGGCGAGCCCAGTTGTCCTTTGCTTGGAGTTCATTCCTCGTGTCACGGCCGGGCCATCCCAAGCCCAAAACCGAGTGAACAACCCCTTCAGGCGATGAGCCGGTCAAAGATGTATTTGTTTAGAGTGCTAGTTTTGGTGCAGTACTTTCCCCAGCCTGGATGAACAGTCAAACATTTGACTAGCACAGTTTCTCGGCCTTAGAGTTTCTCAGAATTCTTTGCAGTGAGGTGCTCTGTCAGAGCAAATCCATTACGTTTCGTTTTTTTTTTTTTTTTTTTTTTGTCACGTTTTGTTGGAGCGCCCAAAACACTTTTTGACCTCGCCATCCACCTTTTGATACTTTGATACTTCAGGTCTTTGGGTCTCATTTGTCCTTTTGCCCACGGACGGATCGTTGACCTTTGCCTTTGGCCTCTGAGTGGATTTGTGTTTTTACCAGAAACAGGAAGCTCTGGTGTCTCTAGCGCTGCGGGCGCAAAGAGTTCCACTTGGAGGTCTAAGGGGGTGCTTGTTTGGCGGTTTCAAAGGGACGCCAAGGGGCTCGTGGTTTTTGGGTTTTCCTCCCCATGTTGGCAAAGTGCTAAGGGACCAACAGGAAATCCCGGGCATTTTGGTGTTCCAACCCCCCCAACCAAAATGGGTTTGAAACCAGGCCAGGCCTTGGGGCTGGGGGTTGGGACCCAAGCCAGGCCCGAGACCTCCGGCCCAACCCAGGCGGCTTTTCGGACGAACGAGGGAGGGGTTGCAACGTTCGCGTAAAGATCCAGCCCAAGGACTTCCGGGAAAGATCCACACCCAGACAAAAGCAGGCTTGGAAAGGCTCCGCGTTTTTTTTTTGTTGGCCAGAGAGGCTCGCTACGTTTTGAGGCTTTGAGGCTTGCAGAGTTTCATGTGTGAGTTGAATGAGTACCGGGCGGCCATCGGCCACGCAGGGCTGACGCAATAGCATGCCCTGCTGTTCCGGCTGGACGCTGTAAGGGTGTTTTGGACGAGCCGTCTTCTTTCATGCCCCAGCTTCCGTGTAAGCGCAAGCTCGGCGAAAATGCATTTTGGGTGACTGTGCACATGTTTGCTTTCATTTTATGGAGTCGAAAAGGAGGTCCTGTGACAGCCCCTCAGAGGAATACGTTGTCCCAGACTCCCGGGGAGTAGAGAAATACCATCCAAATCCACAGACAAGACTTTCCGCTTCTGCACACGTGTCATCCCCCATAGCTTGCTTCATGCTGATATGGACGGTCATCACGGTTAGATTGAGTCCGGGTTAAATGCGATTGCTGCAAGGTGCTCCTTGCCTCCTTGTTTGGCCCATGTCGATGTGACGTATGATCCGGTTGATCGCGATGACTCAGCCACAAGATAGAGGAGTGCAAGGCGGACGCAAGGGTAACCACCCACACAGGGGGGCATTTGTCGTTTCCCGACTCATAGTTCCTTAGGTAGATATCTTTGCCAATGCGTGGGGGACATGTCAGGACCGCCTTCAGCGGACGCTGTTGGATACGATTTGAATATTTGCTGTTACTGCGACAGTCGGCGCATAGCGCTGGCTGCTTCGGATCATCCGGCAACGAAACCTCGACTTGTTTAGGACTCAGTGTTGCTTTCAAAAACAATTGATGAACGGCAGTACACCAGTGACAATATTCCGGGCTACGGGCTAGCAGAAAAACGAAACTTTTACCCTCCCACCAATTAACATAGAACCTGACAGGGGGTCCCTTCAAAAGGAAAATGATCATCCAGGACCCCCCTGCAGGTTCCATGTTAATTGGTGGGAGGATAGCTATGTGACATTCAGTGTTGCCTCCATTGCACAAAAAATCCCCAGTCTCAGCTCTAGCCTCTTGAAATGCGGAGCGAGCTTTAGCTACAAAGGCACCGTAAAGCTTTCGGGGAGCGAACTCTTCCGAACGGTATGCTATGCAGGATCCCGTTCAAACAAAGGGTCCTCAGTTTTGTCAGGTTTCCGTAGGATGCTATGGCTGGCGTCCAAACTTGTAGCCAGCACAATTGAGTATATGGTCGTATCATGTCACGTTTTGTTCAAGGTTCTGTTTTGCAGGCAATGGCCCAAGCAACTGCAAACAATGGATCGCTGATGCACAAAGGGATGCCTGGCAAGGATGAACACAACACAAAGAATGGTCAGGGTTGAAAGGTGGCCGCAACCCTAGCAAGAGGCGCCTGATACTTTGGTCTAGTTCTTAAACTTTCAAACCATACACAATGCAACTGCGCTGGTCAGCTTGGTCAGCATGTCAAGGGCAGCAAGGTGGTCAAAAAACAGCGCGAAAAGGTGTACCAACTTGCAGAAAAGGAGCCACACTTTGGGACGGCCCTGGCCATATTATTTTTGGTGTACAATATAATAATATATATATATATATACATACATATATATATAATATATATATATACATACATATATATATATATATATTTATACACATATATATATATATATTATAAATGCATGGATAGTGTAGTATTCGTTGCCTTCGTCAGGCCCTTGGGAGCGGCAGGCCTTGCCTCGGTTTTGCCTTCGTGGGCGCCTCCAAGCCAAGCCCCAAAGTCAGCTGAAGCCTTGGGGCCCTTGGGAAAATCACTCACCCGGGGATCTGGGGATCGGAAAAAACGAGGGACATTTGTTTTGGTCTCAGCTCCTCTTGCTCGTGGAATTTCACACCTTTTTTAGGCCTTGGCTTCTTTTTTTGGTGGTTTTCACGGCCTTTTGCTCGTGGAATGTTTCGCGAGCGGTAGCTGATGCACTGCCAGTTCTCAGACGAATCTAGCGGGGCCCTTTTCTGCCAGGTTTGGTATTTGCACTACCGGAACATGGCACCGAGACCCCCCAAAATTGGGCACGGAAAGCCAATGGCGTTTGGCAGGAAGCCAGCGCCCGGCGGGAGGGCTTGCCGCTGTCAAGGAGCCTGGGGCAGCCATCGGATGTTTTGAGTTCAGGGGACCTTTTTGGTTTTTCCCCGCCTTTGCTGGGAGCCTTGGATTGTTTCTTGGTTGTCCAGGGGCTTTTCCCGAATGAGGCTCCAAGTATCGTTCTAATTGTCTACCTTGCAACCCTTTGTTCTCTCTACTCTCAAGTAGTCCTGTGATAAAGATGAACAAGCAAGGGTGGACTTCTTTCTCCCTGACGCCGGGCTGTCCCCAGGCTGTGAGGCGCTGTTGATGCTCTTTGCAACTAGAGCATGGGAACTCTTTATAAGTTTTGTGGGTGTGGGTGTGGGTTTGGGGTGTGGGTTGGTTTCCCGTGGTTGGGTGTGGTTTAGTAGTTTCCCCCGTGGTTTTTCGTGGGGTGTGGGTTGGTGCACTCGCAAGTTGCAAGGCAGGGGCATCCACCGAGACATGAGACACCCTGTGAGACACGCAACTTGTCGGCGTTCGATCCAAATGCCTGGTGGAAGCCCATGCCTCGCAAGCTTCTCTTAGCTTCCAAGCGGGGCCTTCCTTAGCGAGTCCTAGACCATTGCTTGGGGGAACTCCTGGCTCAAGCCGGCCCCCAGAGTTTTGGACACGCTGGAGAAAAAATGTAAACTCACATGACAGGCTCAGAACTGATTGAACAAGCTCATGTGCAGTGCTTGGAATTGGTATGACAGATGCTAAGCGCGTTGAGGCCAACCGGATCCAGCGGATTCAGATCCGGCCGGGAGGGAATCAACCTTGTGGACCCGGAGGAGCCTCGTTGTGGACCGGACATCCCTCGAGGGAAACAGCTGAGCCCAGAAGAGTTGTGCCAAGGATCGGGAGCTCGAAGTATACACAACGCCATCGTTCAAGGGGCTGTTGTTTTGTACCCCGGTGAACGCCTGGCAATGGTTAGAGGACTGGTTGAAACACGACGTGGCAACGTACCAACTTCTTTGCGGGGGCTCTTTGGTTTGAAGACTTGCACCCTCCAGGTCTTGCAAGATCCCTTGGCGCCTACGAATAATCACATACACCGGCCGCTGAATTCACTACAAGTTTCCGCCTCTGCAAGTCGCCCGTATCCCGGTTCCCCGAATTGTTTCGGCCGAGGATAAGAAGCCCGGGGCAGGCCCAGCCGAGGGCTGCTCTGATGCTTCTTTCCGAAGGTGTTCAGCGGTTCTTGCTGCGGAGAATCATAGCAAAATGCCAAGACTGGTTTTCTGAAAGAATCATAGCAAAGTCTCAGAAAGGCAAACTGTTTTCCAGGGAACAGTATCGGTTGTCACTCTCTTCAATGTCACAGCAAATTGTTTGTTGCGAGTGTGTGTGTGTGTGTGCCTTCTTTGTTGGTTGAGAGCTGAACTTTGAGGAAGGGTGTTGCTTCTGGACTTGTTCTGCTTCCGTGTTGCGAGGTGTGTTTGATGGCATTTAGTTGCAATGAGCAGCAAGCCACGCACCCTTGGTTCCACGGATACAAATAGTGGTTTGTTCCGGAAAGGGTAAAAGGAAGAGTTCAAACTAAGAACGGAGGTCAAGGCAGAGACATGGCAAGCGTAGCAAGGCGCTGATGTTGAACATGGCAAGTGACATCGGCCACAAAAACTGGCTCCCTTTACTTTTTCGTCGATGAACTTGCAGAGAACAAGGATATTGTTCTGGTCTCACCGCATGAAAGGTACGGCACTTGTTGTAGGTGCTTCCTTCTGCATCTTAAACGTGCACTAAAATCCTCTTTGCGAGGCCAGGTCCTAGAATCAAACCCTAGGACTCAAACCTCGAAGTGTGGCGTGGTATCTTTATTTGGCAAGGCGGCCGTTTTTCTCTGACCGAAATACCAGTGCATCTTTGGAGGGGATGTATTTGAGCAAATTATCACCTGCTCACCTAGGGCTAAAGCAAGCTCACCCATGATGCAGAGCGCTTGCCACGGGATTCCGCATTTCAGTTGAACTACAAACATTCTAAACTGATCTCGACCCTGATTTTTCCCCCCTTAACTTCTATTTAGAGGCATTGGGGGGGGGGGCCTCCTATTTATTAATCAGAGGTGGACATTACAGACATTTGCCGTTCAAATGCAATGGTGAGACGATGTGATGTGGTTTTCTGTAATGCGAAATGCTATGGGTTTAAAGAGAATTGTTCCATCGTTTTTTCGGCCTGTTCCACTTACAAGGCGGTGAAAACGGTAAACAGTGTCGCAGCTATAGGGAGAGGCTGCCAACATACAAAACCTCCCAGCTAAGACCCACAGGCACTCAAACATGTACCAACAACAAGCTGCTAAGCGCTTCCACAACACTATATCCCTCACTCAAGCTGAACTGTTTGAGTGTGTTGCTGTTCCTAGTCGGTACACGCTTACAATGGAACGTGGTTTCACCTGAGCTTTCAACCAAATTCTTGGGCCTTGTTAAATTGAACTCTCTCTGGTTTGAGACACGTAGCCCTGGATGACACACTCCCAAGGTTTTCACTGGGAGGGTGCTGAAGCTTTGGATGTCGCGGTGTTCTGTGACGCTGTTTTGAGCTACACCCGCGACCCGCGGAATGAACACCGTCACGAACCGCCATGCGCTCATCCGCTAGTTGGCATGATTCGCAAAAAAGTTTCAACGAGCGCACAAACTCTGCACCCATGAGGACATATGCGATACTGCAAGGACCCGGCACTATCCTGTCATCTGTTCAACACGCAAAAACCGCCTCAGAGACAACCCTCCACAGACTGAAGCACGCGCAGCCCAATATTATGACTCACTTGAAACGGTGAGCGCCACATTGGCAGGCCCCACCCGCTGATCATGGCCTGTCAACTTGCTCCACCAGCAATGCCTCCGCGCTGACATATGGTTCCCATCACTTGGCAAAGTGTCTTGTGAGTGGCAAACATTCCATGTGCTGACTGTCTTTGGGTTCTGCATTCCCCAATGTTCAAAGATGGCACTGCCTTAAGCAGGGCTCCTTAAAAGATACACTTTGCCGATTTGAAACATGGCTTTTTCCATTAAAATAAAGGGAAACCACCATTTACAAGGCAATGTTCAGGTGTACAATGTAAGGATCCCCGCAGGCCCGCAGAGCCAGCACCTCCACGCGCAGAGAGGCGGGTCGATCCAACTGGTCGCGTTTATTTGACGGTGTTACTAGACGTGTTGAGTGCATGATTTGCCTTTTCCACTGTTTGTCAATTAAAATAAGCCGCCCCCCGGGTGGTGTAGAAACCCTTTTCAAGGGAAGCGGTTCATTTCAGTCGAAAAGGCAAACCATGGTTGAGTGTGAGTCGCTTGTTGGTGACTCTGCCAAATTTCGGGCTACCTTCGGATGGTCGTTGCTTTGCTTGACTTGATCTCAGGACAGTGTGGTGTTTGTTGGTTCGTTACGTGGCACGGCATTATTGAGCCTATGAATTTGAAACGTGATGCCATGGTGACTTCGGTTGGCTTACTGTTTCCGATAGGGCACCTGCAACTGTACTCGGTGCAGAGTTGTCCAACGAGCGCCGCTCGTCACCAACATATATTGATACTGTGGACGAAATCCATTTCGCATCACCTAAGACACCCTGGTTTCTGATGATTCCCCTGTAACATACCAATCAACCAGGGTTTCAAACACGGTGTCATTTCGAGGTGCGAAATGGATTTCGCAACCATCCACGGCATGCTGCAATGGAGATCGGAGCGGTAAGGGCCGCAGACTGGACGGATTTCGGACACGTGGAGGGCCCCATTGGCGGTGTGCAAAAGGCAAAGACGGATCAGCTGAGGCTCGTTTGAGCACACTGGCGTAGAGATTGTCTACATCCGGACATGGCATGTTGATCACCACCGCTTCAGCCACCATTGACCAACACTTGCCCTGATAGAGCTCGGGTTTCGGCACACTTCTCTTCCATTTGGTTAAGAATATTTTATGGTTTCCCCTGTTGGTGTTAAAAGGAATCAATCAATACTGTTTTTTTTTGTTTTTCAGGGGGGCGAACACGCAAATGGAAGTTCTGGTTTCAGAACCTCACATGCCACCAGGAACCCGGCCATGAATCAACGGACGCCCCCGATCACTTGGATGCCCGCAGGTGCCGGAAGCCACCCGGAGCTCCCGGGATGAACGCCTGCCGGGCGCCCGGTTAGGGTGAAAGCATCACCTAGGCCCCCAGCTAGGTGCCCTTTTACCAACTTTTTTGGTTGGGAGGGCTCTGCTACTAAAATAGACTACAGAGAAAAGGGTACCCTTATTCTAACCACTGGAGGACCTAGATCAGTTTGGCAGCTTTCACCCAAACATGTTTGCGCAGGGTCGGTTGCGCAGGCGCCTCAAACGATCCTTTTGAAGAAATGAGTATGCTGCAGTATCTCCTAGCTAGGCAGTGCGATACTGGACAGAAATCGGACACTATCGGAAAATGTTCTCAGTTGGCCCATCGAGCCCTGAAACAAAATGGACACCTCCGAAATAAGATGCTCACCTGTCGGATTCTCGAGATCCAGTTGGACGGGGGGTGGGGGGGTTTCCTGGCGCATACGCCTACTTTTGCCACCGTTTTGCAAGACAAGTTGCATGGTCTAGAACATTAACGTGGAAGCTGAGCGATGTTTGCAGCCGGGGGTCACTGATGTGATGTTTGACTGTCGCAAGGGAAGGCCATCTTCCTTGAGTCTTGGCTGAGGGTCTTGGCCGTTGCCAGGTCAGGGCTCCCACCTTGATTTTGACCGATCAAACAAATGTGTCGAACGTGGGGTAAATGGGGTGCTTCAAAATCAGGGCGCCAATGGCCCTTTTTGGACGTGGTCAGACCACGGTGGTTTTAGCATCCTCAGGTTTCCCTGGAACGGGGACACGGTCGGTTTGAACAAGCTGACTGAATCGGCCAGACATTTGGTTTTGTCCGGCCAACTTGTTCATTGGACAATTTGTTTTTGGGATTGCTTGAACATAAATTGATGGAGTTTAGAACATAGGTTTCAGCATGAAGAGCCATTGGTTTGCACACATATTATCGGAATTGAGCCTCATATGAGGCTACCGTTCCCCTCTCGATTTTTGCCACCGCCGTAGCCAGTTGTTGATGGGGTCGGTCAGCAAGGAGGTTGCCGTGTTCATTTTTCTGAGCGTTTGGCAGACAAATCAAAGTCGCAGTTGTGCAGACCACGCCCTGAGGAAGCACATTGGCTTGAACAAGGACTGGCTTCAGGTTGCCGTGACGAGCTTGTGGCACGTTAGGCGTGTCCAGTTCGGCTGGGGTGACTAGCAATCATCTCAGGGGGCCACTGGAGTTCCCGTTTAAAAAGCTGCAATTTACTAGGGGTGTCCTTTGAAACTGCCACTTTGGGAGGTCCCTCCTTTGAAGGGACCCTGTACCGCTGCATCAAGGGGTGCAAATTGTGCCTGGGTCATTGCCTGACATTGAGTCGTGGCTGAGGGCAGCATATTGTAGTTGCAGACCTTGGCTCGCAGTGGAAGAGGTTGGGTGGTAGAAAGAGCGGTCATGAGCACAATGCAGCAAGATGTGCCGAGTATTGCAGGATATCCTGGCGTGCCAGTCTGCGGAAGAGATTCTGGAGCTTTGCGACCAGAGACTCGACGAGTTCAATCAGATCAATGCTACTTGGACCAACCTTTGGACCCTACAGGAGGTTTTGAATTGTTCCGTGTCCCATCTTACTTGGCTGTTGTGTTAAACATCAGTGGCAGTTTTCCTTGTAGTTGCCTATTTCTTCTTTCCCCTGTTGTTCCGAAAGGGAATCTATCGTCACTCGACATATTTTCATTTTTCCCAGGGGACATGGAAATGGAGGTTTCTGAAGGGAGCCTGGGCTTGGGGCTGTACGGCGTGCTTCTTCTTGCTTGTTGAACCACCTTGGACCTGAATGTTCATGTTAACGGCCATCACAAGGGAGCATTCCCACCACGTTTTGTTCACCTCGATCGCACAGCGTAGGCACTGCCCATTTATGCAGGTAGGGGCCTTCCAGGAGGATCCTCTTGGACATTCCAGGTTGGTACAGGGCCATGTCAGCAATGGATCCATGCATTTCAGTGATGTTTCTTTTTGAACACCTTTCTAATCTTTGGCAGTCGTGTTATTCATCTGCAAGCTACACGCTATGTAACATGCGGCGAACCTTTTCAAAGGCACGAGCCTGGCATCCCTGCCAACATCATGTGGCATTGGTTACAGAGAGTGTGATCCTGCGAAGCGATGGGCTGCATCATGCTGTTTTGGGCCAAGTCTTTTGAACGTTTCAACTGCTTCGGCATTGCACGCATTGACCCAGCTAGAACTTTGTATTAAGCGTTTAGGCATCTTGATGGACGTCATGTTGGAAAGCAGGTCACATATATGTCCCATCTTGATTCACGGGCATTCAACTCGGCCAGCAATTGGCAGTGTCGACCCCCAATCCACCGTTGGGCTGCATTGCAGAAGGAGACGATTTTGGGCGCTGATGCACTCAGGGGTTCCTACTGCCTCACATTGGTTTTTGAGTCGGGAGACAGCCTGAAGTCGCGATTTTTCTCGGGGATTCTGCCGCCTGACTCGAGGGCAGCGGAGCCGTTTTCGCCAAGACTCGGCAGTCAGACCAGCGAAAGGGCACCGGTAGATCCAGATTGGCATGTCACATGCACTTTTGACTCATGGATTGCTGGTCTCCTCCAGCGCTTCGACAACTCAAATGTGGTTTTGTCTCCAGAACTTGAGCTGGGTTGGGTGGCTTCCCTACGTTTGTTTTCAAAAGCACCCCAATTTTTACAGCTCAGCACAGCTTGGGGTTTTTGACGGGTGCGCTGGGCTTTCAGGTGGTCACAGCCTTCCACCGAATTGCCAAGTATGAGAAGGACGGGCCCGCTCGACTCGTCAGCACGTGACCTCGCTCGCTGCCTGACGTTGGGGGTGGTCAAGGAGGGGCCTGGGATGGAGCCTGATGCCAGCCATTTGCTTCCTTAGCTTTTTAGCGTTTCAGCTGACGCTTAGCAGATCTGAGAGCAGCCAAGAGGGCCCCCTTCAAAGCGTCACTGGGTCCGCGCCTTGCCAAGCTGTGGCTGATACTTAGCCCCCCCCCCCTTTCAGAGTGCTGGGCTAAGAGGTTGCCATTTGCGTTTGGAGGGGTCTCTGGTGTTGACAAGTTTGCCACATCGCAGTTTGTTTTTTGCAGAGTCCCCGAATGGCCACAGTATGGCGGGCTGTTCCTCTTTGCTTCCGGTGGAGATTCGCTGATCTGGAGCTTCTGGAAACAGCTAAGGCGTGCTCTCAAGCACCTTACTGGAGAGTTTTCTGGGGATGGTCGGGAAAGCTATAAGCTGCTACAAGACACTATGGTGGTTTAGAGAATCTTTCTTGAATCTTCAGGAAATGCCTCATTGAGGTTCTGAGCAAGGTTCCCTATCTAAGGAACCGCGAGGATTCTGATGCGGAAAGAGTTGACAACACATTGCAAGATTTGCGGTCCTTTTCGGGGGAGTTTGAAAGCCTGGATGAGGTCCTGACGGGTTAGGCATGAGCTCAGGAGGTATGTTATTCGGCAATGGGAGGGAGTATGCTCCGTTTGCGCTGAGAAGAGGTCAAGGATCGGAGATGCTTCTGTTGGACATGTAGCTAGGTACTTTGTTCATCTCAGGAAGGTTCCGCTGTACATGCGTAGATGCTGGTTGGCACGGTTTGCTTTTCATTTCGGTAATCTGTAGGGCTTCTCCTGGTGCTTTGCTGTGCTTGCTTTGCGGCACTATGGTTATTGGCACCCAAGGATGACCCATCCTTCCAACAAATATGGAGCTTGACTGCCTCCCATGGCAGAGGAGTTTCCCTTATACACACTTGGTGATTCCCAGCCATCCCTTAGCTTTTTAGCGTTTTAGTTTTTAGTGGGGATTTTCATTTAGCCCGCTAAAAGTCCAGAACAGTATGTGTTGTCAGTGGTTTACATGCATTCCGTGTTGTTTTCTCCCCCCCTTGGGGAAGACTAAACTCATCCCAAGCTACTTGGGAGCTGTCGCCATGGGGGCCCACGTAAATTTGCACAGGCGCGCAGCGAGGGCGAAACCACAGAGTCTCAAAGAGGCGCTGAGTTTCAGTGAGCCACATTGTGTTGGACATTTAGCTCAGTTCAAAGCGAATCGACCTCTTGACCTTTCGGTTTTCCCTTTCTGTTGGGTCCATTTTGTGCGGTCCCCAAAGGTGATCACCTGTCATTTCCATGTCCTTCGGGCAAGTGAGTCTAAGATCACATAGAGGAAATGCCAGTGATCAGAGCGGTACATTTCAACCCAACCGATCATCAATACGGTTGCACCACACGTTAGTGCGAATCTCCCGGGGACTTGGAGGAGGAAGCACGAGTTTGGAGCATCAAGGCGTGACTGATTTCTGTTTGGGGCTTGGTGGAATGAACATAAGTCATTTCTGCGCGTTTTGTGTGTGGAAAACAAATCATATACGTGGAGATGGACAACCTGGTTATGAGACACACTACTTCAAGTCCCTTTTCTCCATCAGTTCGTCTGACATGTCCTGCCTCGGGGCAAGTGGAGATGTTCGAAATGGGACGGGCATGGAGTGCCCTCCGTCTCTCGCCCAGCTTGCGGAGAAACGGTGCGAGCCGACGGGTGGCGTGCGGTTCAGGACAGCTGAGCAATCGAAACCTGGGTAGATGCAGCTTGGGAAGGGAGAGTTTTAACAAGAAACAGGCGCGGCCGCCCTTTTAGTTCATTGCATGGTCTTGGACTATTTCGTGAGTGAGTGGAAGTCTGGTGGCCTAGCCGCGGCTGTCGCCCGACCCACGGAGCACAAAGGAGGCTTCAGACATTTAAGGGCATCTTTCCGGCAAAGAGAAGCTGCTGCAGCATAGAAGGGGAGGAGTTTTTTCGAAGATGGGTTCCGGGAAATTCTGGGCGTCTCTCGCCATCCAGTTTTGCAAGGCCCTGTTGATTTGCTCGCAGAGGTTGGAGAAGCAGCAGCAATGGGGGAAGCCTTTTGAATTCGCCTGCGATGTCCCTCCGGGAATCCTCCCAAGATTTCGTCCACTAGCATCGCGGGCACGCTATGTGCGTGCCGTTGCTCCTTGAAGGAAGCAGCCCCAGTTTGCTGGGCCCGGATGAGGTGCGAAGCCATCCGGTCACATGGACCCCCTCCCCCAAATTACGGTTGGAGACATCAAGCGCGTTCCTTCTGGCAGGAGCTTCCCGCAAAAGTTCACTCTGTTAGAATGGGCATCCCGCAAATTGTGAGGGGCTGAATGTGAAGCCATATTCACATTCCCACACTCCTCTCTCTGTGTGAGTGTGTGTGTGTGTGTGTGCGTGTTTGATGAAGCGATTCCCTTCACGGCACCTTGGGGTATATTCCATGTTGGGATGCCTCCTCAGCATTTGGCCATCCCGGCATATTGCCCACGCAGGCTGGGAGACCTGGTCGCCGGATGAATGGCTGGAGCAGCTTATCTGCAAATTGAGTCGACTGAGCCGTGGGTGCCGCTGTGTTCTGTCCCCTCAAACCATGCGGAGGTTGATCAGTATTCCGCCTCAAATGACCGTGGGTAACTTTTCCCATTTAGTGAACATCATCTTCTCAGTGGTTTTCCTAATGGTCACCCAATGTAAAGGACCTTTTGATCAACCCCCAGGGTGAAATTAAACTGCTGGGGTTACGCAGGTGTTTGTCTTTGTTTCCATATAGCAGGGTGCAATTCTAAAATGTTTTGGAGCCGGAGCCATGTGAAAGGTTAGCAGGGGATAGTCCTAATGATAAATGCATGCGTCCGCCTTTTCGATTCTTTGCAAGGTTTGGGAAGTTTCTCCTTCAATGCCAGGTTTGATTTTGACTCATTTTTCATATGGCCATGTTGCCACTGAGCTTTGCCCTGTGCCGCTGGGGCTTACTTGACACTGGGGCCTTTGAGGCGCGTGTGTGTTGCATTTCTTGCTGTTTTTGGACATCGTCAGGACCCAGGTTCACCATTTTGACATATGGCTGTGGGTGAAAACCAATGGTACGATTTTGGGGTAGGTGCACCACCCATTTTAGTCTATTTTAGTGGGGATTGGGATGTTCACTGGGGGTACGATATTTTGACCCATGGCCATATTTTGACCACAAAGAAGTCCGTCCCAAGCCCAGAATTTCTACTCAGCATGCCGGAGCCCCCAGCTGTAAGATGCACTGCCCACACATCCTCTCACGATTCGGCTGAAGCATCGAAGCCGCTCGCCGAGTAACGCTCACCATCCGAGCCGAGAGGTCGGAATGGCCGCAAGAAGAGGCGCGCATCGCGTTTGCGATGGCGAGGGTCGTCGACTCGCGGTTGGCCCGAAGGGAATGTAGCTTGTATTTTTGCAAACATTGTATAGACGTAGCTACCCTTGCTTTCCAATTCGTAGTCAGAGCGGAAACCCAGCCTCAAGCACTTGTAAAGATCACCCTCTTTGTGGGGGGATTTTTTGAAAGCTCAACACATGGTAAACAAATTGCATGGTAAAAGCTTGTAACCCTATCTAACACGCTCTCAGTCATTTTGTCATCCATCTAAGGCAATCCCCGACCGTATGGATCTAGGAGTCACTTTTGACCGACTTTGGCGGGAAGTCAATACGACTCCCTCCCTTACATAAATATGTTCAATAGAATTCCAGCGCATCCCTCTATATCCCAAGAGGGGAGTCAAACAGGTCAACCATACATGTGTCATCACTAATCACGGCGCACCATCACTAGCAGCCTTGAGAACAAGAGCATTGACCACAGCACACCTGGTTTGCTTGATGCAAGGCCTGGCACGATGCCAAGGAGGAGCGTAGGCGTGGATTGCTGGATCGACCTGACGGCTAAAATGCAAGTCGGATGTCAAAGCCGACCCTCCAAAAGGTCGTTGGATGCCAGGTGTCATCTTGATTTCCTTTTGAATTCTTCGCCGCGGTCGTTTTGGAGCAAACCCATGTGCAGTGCTCGTTTTGAAAAAAAGCCCAATGAACATGTTTAGCAGTTTTGTAGCATCTTCCAGGCTGCTGTGAATTGCAAAGATGCAGAGCCGTGATTTTTGTTGTTGGTTGCGATGGGTCCAGTCTTCACGCATACTCAATTTAGTCAGGCAGTGAAGGGGGTTCAAGTCCATCGCGAGAAACGATTGGGGGGAGGGCAGAGAGCCATGACCATCTCACATCAGGATTGATCAGGACATAATATAAGGCACACGCCCACACACATACACACATATACATCTCGAAAGCGAATCAAAGTCGAGTGAACACATCGAGTAGGTAAGCAAGTGGAATCCATGTGAAATGCATTCGAGTCGGCGCGGCTTCCCTGTAGGCGCGAAACTGTTGCCAATTCCAAGAAGAAGCGCAGCGACCGAAACCAAGGGGCCAAAAGGACTTAGCATCACTGCTATGTCCAGCTGATCAGGCTGGATATCAGGAGCAGCTAGCAGCAAGTGTCTTCGTTGGCGCACTTGCTGAACCTCCCCGCGTGCAGTAGTTGGTTCCAGGGTCCCGAGCTGATTTCTGCACTCCGAACCTTGGGAAGATCATTTGAGTTTACGCAGCCACGTTTTCGTTTTCTGAGCGATCAGCTCATGTGAGCTTGTGTTCAAGCATCAGCTTTGCCACCGAAGCTTTGGGATCCACTGTCACCAACCCGGCAATAAGCTACACTTGTTTCAGATGACTGAAGCCGCGCAGGTTTCCCAATTTGGGTGAACAATCATTCGACGCACAAAGCCAAGCTCCTGGCACCCAAAATTCTCAACAGAGTTCGATGATGGGAAGATGGGCACCTGAAATCCCCCAGCCACAAGCGCGACACCGCAATAGAAGCTGGAGCCGGCAAACGGCAGCACGTATGGTGTATTGCTTGCGCTAAGCCGAGCAATCATACCATGTGCTGCTCTATTTCCACATTCCTTCGCCATTCCCCCACGTCTGTGTTGACGGGTTGTGGCGATAAAACAAGAGCTTGAGAAGTACTAAATGTTACGTTAACATTCTGGTACCTCGACATAGCGGCAGTAGGGGGGGCCATTTTAAGTCCGAGGATCTGTTTCCAACCAACGATAGGCGACGCAGCTCCAAGGTGTTCCGCGACATCCAAGTTGATCTCAGTTTCGGATCTTCTGCAAGGAAAGCGCAAATCGCCGATTCCCTTTATGTGTGACAAGGAGCAGTTGGTTTGGATTGCGCGGGACCATGGATATAAATGGCCATGACATTTAATAGGGAACCACCTCAAACATGATTCTTGGACATGAATCCTCACTTCAATGATGTCCACCATTTCGGGTCCCCAATTCAAATCCACGCCCAAGACTGTCTTCCGGAAGTCCTTGCTCCCCCAACCCCCCGGGAAGTGGAGCTGGGAGGCGGCAAGCAGAGGCCGCGGCAGAGGAGTGGAGGTGGGAGCCTTCCGGAACACGCCCAGCGATCGGTGCGAAATCAGTAGGGAATCTGGGAAGGTGGGATCGTGTTCAACTGGGTTTTGGGGAGGGGTTGAAAGCCCCTGAAAGTCGAGTACCCATAAAGAAAGGTACCCATAGGTGTCCTTTTTGGTCGTTTTGCTGGAAAAATAGAGGGCGATTCCTAGTTTACCTGGTGGTTTAATCATCTACCAGGGAAACCCATCTATTTCCCCTGAAAGGACACCTATGCTCTCGCCACAAAAGCCCTTTTCTTGCGATCGGTGCGAAATCGGAAGGGAATGTGGTTGACTGAACCCAGGAATTGGTCCCCTATAGGAAACCACTTGTGGGATGGTTTATAAGGGTCATGCCCCCTCATTCCCTGCCCATCGCACCAGCAAGTTTTCTGGAGTCCTGAAGGTCAAAGGTGATGCGAGTATGGGTCAAAGTTAAATCACCAGGATATGGACCGCAGGTTTTAGCCCTTGGTTCCATTCACCAGGGCAACCCATTTTGGGGTTACCCTATTTTTGACGCACAGCGATGCATGTAACTGGCGAGTCAGTGAATGACAAGAGCAGAGGTCCTTATATGTTTTTTTGGGATTGGCCTGGGCTCCTTGACAATGCTTGCTAAACCGCACAAGATGAATTCTGGAAACGACGCAGGGCAGCAGGCAGTTCTTCGTATAGCTTCGGCGTGTTCGCGCTTGCATGTTCACCGTGTTCTCGTGTTGATGACGGGGTGTGAGTTTCACCTCGAGCTACCAACCAAATGCCGAGCAAGAAGAAGGCGCGATG